GTGCAGTGATCAATGGAAACCTAGATCTGATAGTTTCGGACATGAATACATAACTCAGAACGTGTAAAAGAAAACATGTATATGAAAAACCCTTCACAGTCAGATTTCCTGACAGCAGTGAATGGGAAGACGGGTTTTAGCCCAATAGAAAAGGGAGACTGATCTGGTTTACAGATGGTTCCAAGATAAATCAGGGCACTGGAGCTGGTGTATACTGCTATGGTACGAGGCGGAAACTTAGTTTCAGCCATGGGCAGTACACAGCAGTACTCCAGGCAGAAGTATATGCCATTAAGGCATGTATTATGGAAAATTTAGATAGGAACTACAGAAATAGGAACATCTACATTCTATCTTACAGCCAGGCTGCACTTAAAGCTCTTGACAAACACCAGATTAATTCAAAATTGGTCTGGGATTGCCACCAAACCCTCATGGAACTGGCCAAACATAACAGGGTACAACTGATATGGGTGCCAGGGCATGAGGGAAATGCTGGAAATGAAACAGCAGATCAACTTGCTAAGAATGGAGCTGAACATCCATTCATAGGACCTGAACCAGACTGTGGCATCTCTATACGAGCTACGAGAAAGGCAATCGGGGACTGGACAAACATGAAACACAAGAAATATTGGGGATCCCTGACTGGACTCAGGCAAGCAAAGGGACTCATACAAGGACCTTCCGCTAAAAAGCGAAGGAACTGTTGAAGCTAAACAGGAACCAGATACAAAGATAAATTCAAATTAAATTCTGATGTCTATAACATGAATACTAGACAAAAATATAACTTCCACCTACCCTCATCAACTTTATCAGTATATCAAAAAGGAGTCTACTTTACTGGCATAAAAGTGTTCAACAATCTGCCACAAAGTATTAAAAACTTGGGCAATGATACTAAAAAGTTTAAATCAGAGTTAAAGAATTATCTACATGCTCATTCCTTCTACTCTTTAGATGAATACTTCAATGTAAATAGAGAATGATGTAAAATTAAGTTATATTAATTTTTAAGCTAAAATTGCCTGTACTTATGTATGCAACCTTTTGACTTGTTCTGTATCCAAAGGTACTAACCTCCTTAGGATTTATAGAATGTAAATAAATTCAATTCAACGGGTGGTGGGACTACTTACAGGACATTATCACCTCTTCAAACTGGGACTAAGTGATAGTCCCACCTGTGAGAGGTGTCAAGAAGAAAATGATATAAGTGTGAATGTGAGGCCTTAGCTTATTTAAGATTATGTCACTTGGGTCAATACTTTATGCAACCAAGTGACTATTTCAATTCCCCCATGTATGAAATCATGCGCTTCATTCGAAGCGCAGGATTGCTGACAGGATAATCAAAAGGGGAAGCACAATAGACCACTGTAGGTCGTGGTGCAAGGGCCGAGAAAGCCCACCCCTTATACATTCATTCATTCATTCATTAAACATATTCCTAAGCCACACACACGTGGGCGTGTGCACACACAAACACAGAGGTCACTCAGATCTCTCCAGTCTTGCCCAACTAAACTTGCCACCATATAACAAATTTCATAACATGTCTTGAGGGCTGAAACATATGCCACAAGTCCACAATTTTACAGTGATGCTCCATTTAAAGTTTCTTTGGGGACCAGTTGATTTTTACAATAAACCAAGAAAAATCTTAAGTAGATAGAATTTTACACTGAGTATATTGATCCTGGATCATGGAAAATGGATTTTAAATGGGAGAAAATTTAAATTAAGGAATGTTAAATGAGGGTTTCATTGTATATAGAGCCAAAATGAATTTCACTTTTTTAACTCTCTGACTTCTAGTAGTATCACATGGCAAGATGTTATATTGATTTCTGTACAAACCGCATTACACTATAGAACTTACGTTTGTAACGACAGTATAACTCACTAATGGTGAGATCCTCATCCAAAATGGCTGGATTTTGTATGACAGTTGTTGACTCCTCAATATCATCAATTTCCAATTCACATTCTAAAGATGTCATGTCAGCAGAATTCTTTTTACTCTCATGTTTCATCTTATCCAGGATGTCCTCCAAGAAGAGCTGTTCTACTGGGAATGTTCGGCCTGGAGAGACAACCATAGCATTAACATAATATTTCAATTCAGTATCTCCTCATATATCTTTACATCCCAACATTCTTATTATAAAAGTGTACACAGAAGAGTTGCAATGAGAGGTGGGAAGAATGTTATTTACCCTATCCCTTACAAGTCTGAAATTGACCAGTTAAAGATATTAAAATAAAAATAAATATTCAAATTATGGTTTTCCAAGATGAAATGAGGTACAGTTTGATACATAAGTATGCATTCATCAAACTACATGGCATCACATCCCAGAAGTCATCTTCACATCATCATGGGAACTCCAAATCTCAAACAAACATCACTCCTGTAACTGAGGGACTTTGGTGCAGTATTCTCTGATGTTTTACTAATTTGTCTTCATGAAAGCATCTAGCATGATAACATAATTTTATTTTGAATTAAACAGTTTAAATAATGTATATATTTTGCTTAGTGCTGCCTTCCTTGTAACACAGTATGCACAATTTCGACACCATTACTATGTAAACATGTGTGTGAAAACAAAACTGGGGAAAATATTTAGATGTTATAGATGAAATAATCAGAACTGTAGAAAATTACATAATTGGGAACTGCATGATTTGTACTCTGTGCTTACTATTACTAGGGTCATTAAATCAAGAATGTTGTGACTTGATAGACAGGCATGAATGACATGAAAGTCAGGAATGCATAAAAATTATGTTTGGACAACCTCATGAAAGCATTATATTTGGTAGGCAAAACTGGAAAGACAGCTTAAGGAAATGTGTCAAGGTATGAACTCAACTGAGCTTGAGTTCAGTGGCAGACCATTATCAAGGTTATGATGAACACAACAGTTGAATAGTTATCAGCAGGTCAGGGAATGACAGATATCACTGAATACATTACTTTCTGTTGGAAATTTGACTTAGTGGACATTTTCTATGCATATATTCTGGTAAACAGCAAAACTCTTCCTTACCAGGAATCTCAATTGTAGGCGCTTGCCCAAAGTAGCTTGAGAAGAGGCTGGTATTCAATGTTGCACTCATGAGTATGACTTTGAGGTCTGGTCGCACAGGAAGAAGATCCCGTAATACCATCAGGAGGAAATCACTACAAATTAAAAGAAGAAAGCTCTAGGAAGGCTGTATGATCCAAACTTTTCTACTTTTCTTGTACTAGAACACAATGCCAAAAAGTTACAATAGTTTTCATCACCAAAAAGATAATAAAACTGGTGAAACTGTTGTAGTTATCTGTGGTTATGAGTTATAAGGATTCAACAAATTTGATTAATGATCAAAGCCCTGATTATAGTAACTGAAACATGTGACAATATCAACATTGTCAGAATAAGAAGCATATGCACACTGGAAAATTCAAAATTTTGAGACTGATAAGTTGTTCAAATAACATTTGTAATATTCCTGCCTGTGGTCATCTTCAGCACAGAAATACAGTCAAACATAGTTCATCGAGAAAGTACATCACAGTGCACATAAAGCATTTGCAATGTCTTCTGTAATAAGAGAGTTTAGACCTTACTCTGGTAGTCCTTCTCTAATATTAAACTATCTAACGCAATGCACTAAAATCGTGATATGATAAAAGTACACAGGCAAAGACATGCACACACCTCTGTTCACTCCTCTCATGTACTTCATCTACAATGATGTGAGACACAGAACTCAAATGCGGTTCACTTTCAAGTCTCCGCAAAAGTATGCCTGTCGTGCAGAACAAGAGCCGAGTTGATGATGACATCTTCCTCGCCAAGCGTATCTGTCAACATATTAAGAGAACAACTGATCACCATGATGGAGCAGTACTACATTTTTTATTAATTTTAATCTCCAGTTACAGTTCACAATCAAAGGTTAAAATGGGTGCAGCATAGTCCAGGCGGAATACAGAATTAAAGGGCAATCTCTGTAGTTAGAGAATATATTCTTGTGAATTCCAATTCACAGCTGTAGTCTTATGAAGTATCAAATGCATCACCTGGTAACCAACAGTGCTGCCAATTGTTTCCGCTCGTTCCTCTGCTACTCTCTCAGCTACCCCAATGGCTGACAGTCTCCGTGGCTGTGTGCAGATTATCTCCACATGCCTTGTATTGCCTGAGTCCCAGCTCAAAAGCCAGTCATCAAGCAAGAACTGGGGAATCTGGAAGTCAGTATGAAGTGACATCTTGATAAATACAGGAGTGTAACAACATGTAAATAAAAGAAAACAACAAATGATCTGAGAAAAAAAACAAATCTCTGATACATTCAGTTTAAACAAAATTTTGCTGCTCATGTTCTGAAATACATCATCATCATCATCATCATCATCATCATCATCATCATCATCATCATCATCATCACAGGCACAAAGGCCCTTTGTGAGCCCTGGCCTTCCTCAGGATTGCTCGCCATTCTTCTCCATTCGATGCTACATTCCTCCAGTTCTTTACACCCAAAATTCTTATGTCCTGCCACACACATTCTTCCCATCTCAATCTTGGTCTTTCCACTTTCCTATTTCCTTCTGGTTTAGTATTAAGTATTTTCTTAATCTTTCTATTCTCACTGGCATGTATTGTGTGTCCAGCCCATTCAAGCCTTTTCACCTTTATAAATCCAATAATGTCTGGTTCATTAAATAGTACGTATAGCTCATGGTTATACCTCTTCCTCCATATTCCATTTTCTTCCACTGGTCCAAAGATATATCTCAGGATCCTCCTTTCAAATATTCTTAACAGTCTTTCAACCGACCTTGACAGTGGCCAGGATTCAGAGGCATAAGATAGCACTGATCTTATAAGTACTTTATACATCATAGTTTTGGTTTTCCTAATTATTAATTGGTATTTCAGGTGTTTCCTAAGGCCATGGAGATATTTATTTGCCGCAAGTACACACTTTTTTATTTCATCACTGATATAATTTTTACAGTTAACTTCTGATGAAATATGTACAAGCAGCTTCAATTATTGGCAGTGAAAAGCACTCAACTACTAATATCATTTATAGTATGTATTTCGGTAACACTTGACAGACTCTAAAATTTGGCTGTCTCCGATCTACTGTTCATGAAAATATCTCTTGACTAAGCTTCAGAACCAAACCTGGGTACTCTTCCCACAGCCAGTGTCGCCACTGATCACCACCACCTGATGTTGTCTGACTGCCTCCAAGATAATTTCCATGTGGCCCCAGACTGGCAGCATCTGTCGGTCCACAAGCGATTTCTTGTAACAAAGTTCATTCTGCTTCTCCAGAAACTTTTGAACGATTATTTCATCTTCCCTGTTTCACAAACATAAATGCAGTTAATAATTACATTCTACATTCTAATTTTATCCCACTGCTAAAAAATTCATGCAAGGGCACTGCACAGTTTCTCATATGCGAGTATGACCGACTTTACCCATGTTACCTTAGATATGAAACCGATTTTGCGAGTAACCACTGCTGGTTCACTAGCACAGAACAATGAACTCTGTCTGACTGGAAGAGCCAGTATGTAGAAAATTGAAACTACACATTTCGGTTCACAATGCACATATCATTATTTCCTTCAAGACACCACTTATGCATTTCTATTCAGGGATATGGCCTCCATAAATTACCAACATTTAATCAAAATCTTTACAGACGTTTTTGATAAAATAGCCATTTTGTATTTTGGGGCTGATCTGAAGGCCTTATGCTTCTGGGCCTAGAAGAGGGGGATGGAAAGCATGTAAATCCACCAAAATCTTCCAACTTCACTAAACTTTCTCATATACTGTACATTATGTATATGTATATGTATAGGAGAAACACTCCTCTCCTTTGTTTTGTAGTTAGCATATAAACAGACAAACATAGCCATAAAATTCCCAAGTACTTAGAGCATTTGGAATTGGCAAGGTGCAGATTAACATCCAAAGGAACATGCCTCAAACGTTTTAATACTGTAATGAAGTATAATTACAATGAGTTACCATAAAAAGTCACATGTAACGTTACAATACTTCACCAATTACTGATATCACTAATACAGAAAAATGCAATGTTTGAAGGATCTGGTTCTCTCTCTCTCTCTCACACGCACACTCATATATACATGTACACAGAGTAACATGGGGAGGGAGGTAGGGAGGGAGAAAGAGAGAGAGGGAAAATGGAAAGGATTTTAAAAACTACTAAAATAAAAGTGAAAATAGCAAAAAACGAAGATGGGGAAAATCTGTAAATGTTCTAGTAAAAGTTCTAATTCCAGGACACAGTGCAATTTACAACAGTCTGGTGAAAGACAACAGATATTTCAGCGGAACATATTGCCTCCATCTTCAGGGCTGGAAAGGAAGCCAGGCAAGCAGAGCTAGTTCCTTGTTTGACTTGCTTTTTGAAGAGATAATATATTCCTCCAAAATGTCATGTGACTTTCACCCAATTACATGGCATTATAACCCAGAAGACAGAACTCCCCACAGCCGCTGGTGTAAGGACCTCAAATCCAGTCTAGAAGAAAATTAACTTTTACATCAATTAAAAAGAAGGGAAAAGCAGAAATTAAATAAGGTTACTGGTAGAAGAAGTACTGTGAAGGTTCTGTTAGGAATGGAAGAGATAAAAAGAAAATAAATTACTTATGCAGTGGAATCCCCAGTTAATGTCCCTTAATTTACGATTTTCCCTCATTTTATGTTTAATTTCAATGACTTGAAGCTAATGATCTCTGTTAAATTTCCTCCATTTAAGATTGCTCTTAATTTAGTGTTTAAATCCACTGCTGCCAAAAAAAAATCAAAAATGGGTATTTCACTATATTTTCAAACATCACAGAATTTCATTTTCTAAGACATTAGTGGCACAGCAATAGGTGGTTGTGTTGATGCAAGTCTAACACTGAACCACAAAGGAAGACTGGTTGCTTATACAAATAAAAACCACAGTTGACAAAAAAAGTTTTTATAAATACAATAAATTTTAATTTGAAGAAAGCAGTCTTCTGGGAAATGGCGCCATATAGATCTTGTGTTAACCGATGTTTTGGAGGAACGTATCGCCTCCATCTTCAGGGTAGAAGAAAAAAGAAGAAATCTGGAAGTGAAGAACTAGCGTCTATTTGCCCCTGCTCATGCTGGTTCTTTGCTTGAGATTTTCTTCTACCCTGAAGATGGAGGTGATATGTTCCTCCGAAACGTCGGTTAACACAACATCTACACGGCATCATATCCCAGAATACTGCTCCGTCACCTCCAGTGCTTCCAGGCAATGACGTTTATAGAAGCCATAACTGTAAACAAAACAAGAAGTCATCTTTCAGAATCTGAGAATTGTTTGCCATTGTATTTACTGTTGTGGGAAAATTTTGCTCATGTACCAGAACTGGGAATTTAAGTTTTAACAAAGCAAGTGACATTATGTTACATTACTAGCCAACATAAGACATTTTTACTTATTTGACTACTACTATCTACTACATGTTTCTGCTTAAACATGAGCCAAACTTAGATAGATTATACATAATGCACTTTATACAAATTTTACCCTTACTTTTTTTTTCACATATATTTTGTCCAGTACATAATCTGTATGTGTACCCTACACTATACAGAATCATGATTAATCTTCTTACAAAGTGAATCAACAGCACAAATATTACACTATATATATGTAGAAGTTATTTTACCTTCTATCACATTACGTATATACATCATCAAAGAATATTTCAAATAACAGTTGTACTTCACAACAGAATTTATATTTTATATCCCATGCCCCCCACCCACCACTTGGTGAACATGTAAACATGGTATATATTGGACAAGCATATAGTAAAATCAAATTTCCCTCAGCAACTTAATGATACTAAGTATCACTGACATCTGTTGACCAGTCTCAAAGATGGAACATGTTGAGAGTCATGACCTCTGCACCAGGGGGCTTTTTCATGCACATTACGCAAAGAGTGTACAGAATCGCACAAGTGACGGTTTTCTGTTGTTATCACAGAAAGCTTTACACATACCTCTCAAGTTTGGCCAAGGCATATATGTTGACATTATTGTGTGCCACTGTGGTGTTCACGTTTCCTCCCTGGCCCATATTTGATGACAAGTCCTTCACCGAGAAGCTCTAACAATGAAAAGAGTTTGTGAAAGTTATGAAGAGAAATAACCTATTTACCAAACATCTTCAGTGCAGGATTCTAAAGTGAGCCACTCCTTTTATTTACTTATTAAGCTAATTCCTGGAAAAATACAGAAAGTAATGCTGTGTTTATTTCAAGAAAGGATCCCATTCTCTGTGCTGAGCTCATGCATGCCATCCTTACATTCAAGCTGATCACAATCATCCCTAAAAAAAGCACAGCCTATATTACTCCAACACTGCATATGATGATGCCTCTAGCAGTAACACATAACTAATACAATGTGGCAGTATTGAACCTAAAGGTGAATTTGAGGTTTATTTAATTACCAGATCACACACAGAACATCATAACCTAACCAATCCCCTTAAGCTGTCACTGAATTATGGATTTACTGAAAGTTACTAGCCCCAACAAAACATCAATCCAATTTAACTAATGGAACCTTCACATCCATGTTGTAATAGGTCAAAGAAAAAAAAATGTCTGGTATTTAGAAGACAAAAAACCACAACGTTGTGGTTTTTTGTCTTCTATATACCAGACAATGGATGGTGTCCAAAATAAGCCTAATAGTTCTGCACAGCGTACACCATCATCAGAATCCTTCCAAGTCTATCAAAGAAAAAATGTATAAAATTTATGGAAGACTGACATACTCATTTTCACACTGCTGTGAACACTTCTATTGTGGCTGTGGGCACCTGCTAGCTTCCATATCATCTATTTATCCCTCATAACTGTAAACAAAATTAATAACCATTACTTACAGATCCCTGTAAGCACCTTATGGTTTCTTGGATCACGTTTTCTGATTCCCTGCTAAGGTTGAGTGTTGGCATCTCTGCCTCAAGCTGATCTAGACAGTTGCTGCTGCCGAAAATACTGTAACCAAAACATGGGATACATATGAAATGAGAACTAAGCACATCAGAACTAAAACTTTAACTGAATAAATACCAGTATTGTATTTGGAATATAGTTTTGACTATAATGAAATTGAAGGCGGCGCCAAAGCACAAGCTGTTAGTCGCTGGCTTCCCACGGAGGGGGCCCGGGTTCGATCCCGGATCTGGTCAAGTGGAATTTGAGGTGGACAAAGTGGCGCTGGTGCGGGTTTTCTCCGAGTACTTCGGTTCCCCCTGCTAATCTTCATTCCCCCAAATTCTCCATCATCATAATCACCCGGGGCAGGTACAACAGACCAATGAGTGGCCCCCGTGCCGAGTCGACCCAGCTGGACTCCACTCCCCACTACGAGGGGGGGGGGGAAGAAAAAATCATGAAATTGAACTTGCTTACCTGGAGATCAGGCTGTCCTTGGAATTCGTAATTACGCTCATCGTCAACAAGATGGGCCCAATTCTCGTATTTTCTTCTCCCTGTCGCGTTCTTTCCGCTCTTACTTTATCAACTACAACAAGAGGAATGAATAATGTCAGAGTCAGAGTCAGAGTCACGTTGCAACTGACGGTCAGTCAGTCTGTCTGTCTTGGTGTCGAGCCCCAGCTCAGATATTTCTTTTGAATGAAAGTTACTGTCTTGTCCATGTGTAGCGCCCTCTCTGACGAGAGGTCGGGTCTGTCATTTGTTAGTCAGTCTGTATTACTAAGTCCACTGTCTGTATTTACACATATTTACAGTACACACTTATATCTTATTTAAATGTACAATATATACACGGCCTCTGTCAGTCCAGGCTAGGTACAGCAGATTATGCCCTTTTAACATATATATATATATATCCTAGTAGTATTAGCTACCACGGCAGTCTAGTCACTTGAACGGTCGTATGCCTGACCGCCGCCAAGTTTAAGCCTCTTATACTTTCTGTGTCGGGCTTCGCCTTGTCCGATGTTGCGAACATTCTCATTATCATGATTTTGTATGACTTCTGCTTGTTGCCTGCATAATTTTGTTATGTGATCATATACGTATGGGATTTTGATTGCCATGTGCAAATCGCGGACCGGTGTGCGCCTTGGAAAATTGCCAATCGTGCGGAGAACCTTGTTTTGCAGGCGCTGCAATTTCACTAGATGAGTGTCTGCCGCAAACTCCCAGGCGGGACTAGCATAAGTCATTACGGATCTAATAAGAGCTTTGTGGAGGGTCAGTTTAATGTTAGCGCTCAATCGCTCACTTTTGAATAGGGAATATACTCTAATGAATGTTCTGAAGGCCTTGGCTTCGATCATTTCTATGTGTAATCTCCAAGTCACTTTCTTATCGAAGATTACACCTAGATATTTTGCACTATTTACAAATGGAATGTTTCTTCCATTTAGAGTAAGACAAGACTCAGGCGGTCGACGACCACGAGAGAAGTAGACCCCCCGAGTCTTATCTTCATTAATTTTTATATTCCAGCGCTCACACCAGGTCTCCATTGAGCTGAGACCGCGCTGGAGTTTTCTAACAATAAAACCCTCTTTGCGATCTGTCGCATATAGACAGGTTTCGTCCGCATAGAGGGCCAAATGAATACCATGACTTGGGGGGGCATCATTAATATATATGTTTAAAAGAGTGGGGGAAAGGGCCGAACCTTGTTGCACCCCTGCTTGCATTTCCCTTGGCGTTGACATTTCGCCTTCAACAGAGACCCTGAATTTACGTTTAGATAGAAAGGACCCAATAAGCTTGGTCAGAGAGTTGGGGAATTCCAATTTTGATAACTTAAACAGCAAGCCTGAGTGCGACGTGGTATCAAAGGCTTTTTCGATGTCTAAGAACACTGCAGCCGTAGACATTTTATTGTTGAAATTAAGGGTCACGTGGTCCGCCAGCCTCATACATTGCAATGTCGTGCTGTGACGTGCACGAAAACCAAACTGACTTGCGTTGAGCAGGCCTCTTTCTTCAATATGTTTACGGAGGAATTTCAAAATTACTTTTTCGAATAGTTTTCCTGTCGTGGACAGGAGGCTGATCGGACGTAAATTTTGAGGAAATTTCGGGTCTTTACCCGGTTTAGGTAAAGTTATTATTTTTGCTTCCTTCCAAGTATTTGGAAAGTGAGAGAGCCGAAAACAGTGATTGAATAAGTGAGTTAGGTGAACCAATGGTCTCCTTGGAAGGTGCCTGAGGCATTCATTTGGGATGCCGTCAATTCCACAGGCCTTTTTTAATTTCAGGGATTTTATTAATTTCTGAACGTCACATGGTCTGATCCTTAGAGGGGGGTTTTCATCCACGGCTTCCAGCAGAGCTTGAACTCTAGCCTCCACCCGCTCTTCGTGGTTTTCATCGCACAGGTCATGTGGCGTGAACTGAATTTCCAAACAGTCGGCAATTTCGTTGGCTTTTTCAGAGGGATGAAATTTTAGGCCAGAAGAACCATGAATAGCAGTTGGTGCCCTTGGTCCGTCTCTCTGAAGGAGAGATTTCGCAATGGGCCATATACACTGAGGTGTGACTTCAGCGTTACTTATTTTTGTTTCCCACCGTTCAAGTGCCTTTTTACGGGTCATTATGAATAATGTATGTGACTTCACGCCTTATAAGGGAATCGTTACAGGGCTACGGACATATCAGTTGCTAGACAACAACTCGGGAAATATGTTTCCGTGGCAACAGTAGACACGGTAGAGACGCCGTAGAGACCGGTAGAGACACACTGGTGTTTTCTGTTGAGGCCAGATTTGCTCATTGGTTAGCAGTGTCACCAACAGCCAGCGATGAAAGGAACTGTTGAGCGCTGTTGAGCATGCAAACAATAAATACAATTCCCATGATCCCCATTGTCGATAACCGCTATCAAGAAACTAGGACAATGTGCTCATGCAAACGATATTATACAAACTCAAATTACGACTAAACGTTCCTCTCCTACAACGTGTACAATGATTTGATACACATTAAACTCATTCTCCAAGCACTTTCATATTTCATTTCATTTTCAATTTTTCCCGGAAGCCGTGTGTACACAGCCTTGCCATTGCATGTGCACTACTTAACATTTTCTTATCAGTATGCTTTAACATATTGTAACGTGTTTCGTTACCAGGGGCGGCCCGTGTATAGGCACTGCGGAACTGCAGCACCCCCAATTTCCACTTGATATTATCGATAACATTTATATAATGAGTCCTTTTTTCTTTAATTCTTTCTTTATACTTGTACAATACAATATATAATCCTTAAGCTTAATGTCAGTAGCCAAATCTTTGTATGGAACTGTGAGTTTCACAGTTCCAGCGGCGAGGTGTTCGTTGACTGTGCGCATGCGTACATAGGAAGCTACACGCGATGCTGCAAGGGAGAGGGAGCACTGCAGGAACGACAGTGCCGACCGGTGCCGACCCTGGCGTGCTGGTGGAAGGTAATATTTTTTTTACTCCCCGTGTGTTGTGCTTAAAAAATATGAGTTAATTGTAGAATTAGATCATTATCCTGCTTCCAGCTATTCTATTTGATTCATTTTTTTTTGTTCTTTTATTTAACAGAAAACTTTAACCATGGCCTTGCATCCCCGAGAAATAAGTTCTGTGACTCTAAGTGAACTTCAACAGCTTAAGTTTTTACAACTGTCTCTCCATGAGAAAGTTGCAGTTAAGACAAGAGGTCGTTTAACACTTGATATTCTAATATCTCAGCCAGGCATAAGCAAGAACAAGAAATATAGTCGTAGCTTTAATTCTGAATGGTACAAACGGAAAAGTTGGCTTTGCAGCTGTTAAGTAAAAAAATGCACTGTTTTGGTTCCCGTGTTTGCTGTTTGGGGGTGATGTAACGTGGACAAAAGATGGTTTTAGAAATATAAACAAAATGAAAGGAAAAACTGAAAAGCATGAGAAGTCAAAGAAGCACGTTGATAATGTAGTTTCACTGTCACTTTTAGGAACCGTAAGTATTAAGGAGAAACTTAGTGAGGCATACAGACTTTCAATCAATGAGCATAATATAAAGGTTAAAAAGAATGGATTTCATTTTTAAATGAATAGATTAAGCTTGAACTGTAACAATTTAGGTTAAAGTAAGTAAAAAATGTTTGATTTTGTTCTTTTAGGATTTTATCAAGTTTCTGAATAAATTTTCCTTTTATACATGTTTGTTTCCTTTTATACAATTTTAAAATAAAGGCTACAAATTTTCTGGAGCAGCACCCCCACTAATTTTAGTTACGAGCCGCCACTGCTCGTTACTGAATACGCCGTTCAGATTGTTAATTGGTTTATTTAACAACCTACAAGTATCGGCTACAATTAATTATAACAATGTTACGGGTTTCCGCACTTTACAAACCCTACAACCAAATCTCTTCACACTATCACGATTCACTCGTTACAACTGAAACGGTGACTACTACAATTCAACTCACTCCTTACTGCTCACTGCTGGCTAGATTCCAACTCAACTCTTAGGCTGCTGCCTTGAGAACTGTCTTCGGCGGCTGTGTAGTTCCCTTATAAACCCCCAGCCGGACAACGGGAAAACAGTTACGTAATAGGCACAACTGTTGTCTGTTGCCCGTGTCAACAGCGGCGTTACTTACCATTCAACAGTAGGAAGCGGTGACACGTCACAGTGCGGAAGGGGGGGGGGCGAAGCGCTGACACCCGCCACGTCACTGTGGCCAGAGCTGCCACGTCATTGCTGGGGAGGGAGGGGGTGTCCTCCATTGCACAACACGTCACAATATGATTAGTGCAACTGCTCAGCATAAGAATAGCATGCTAAATGCTTCTCATCATAAACAGTAAGAAGACACAAGACCACATAAATTATTGTGATATATAAGTATACATGAAATCAAAATTGAATTAAGTTAGTCAGCATGACATGATGGTGATTGCTGTTAATTGGCCTTAGTAGGTTGTTTGTTTATTGGACGGAATGGTGTCTTCGTATCGGTAATAACAAAAACAGTAAATCTGTCGATGTCGCATACAACAATTTCTATCACGTCATTTTTTTAGGAAGTGCAGCTGCAAGTCATTTGTTTCATGATAACGATAAGCTACCTATGAAACTGTTTGTTAAATTTAACTAATTTTTTAAACATCTATAATTTTTATTCATACAGATTTTCATGCCTTAAATACCAGATGAGACTGGCAGCATAACGTAACCTGTACACACAGTTTCATACTACTGATTACTAGCATTAGATGGCAGTACACATAATACATCTAGTACACGTTTCATTTGCCCATGCCATTTGTATTTTTATTAAAGACCTAGCAGTGTAATATGTAAATTACAAATCCCTACCTACTGTAACATATATAACGAGACTGGACTAATAAAGTCACTAATGTAATTTTATTAATAAGGTGTAATAAGATAATAAGATTGAAAGTGAAACTAGGAAGTAGTAACAAAGTTAACCTGTAAAGAAAGTGATGCCATATGTATAGGTAAACTTTCTCAAACCTAACGTAATAATGTATTTTAGTTATATTGTATTCACTTTCAGTAACATCTAATAAGACAAGCTGTTTCTCTCAAATTGGAAACAGGAAACCAATAACCTTACGACCTATTAAGGCTAAGGAACTTGAAAGTCCAAACATAACACGTGCAGCTTATGTACTGTTACTCCACGTGTCTGTACTTTGGTCCTAATCGGGGCGTATATACGAACTTTCACTATTACGAGGGTGAGTCAAATGAAAACCTTAAATTTGTAATATAAAATCGAAATTTCACGCCATTATCCTGTAAGTTGGTAAATGTGCTACAAACACCGTGCAGAATGGCCTGTAGGTTGCAGCATAGTGCAGATCGTGAAGATGGACGAACACCGTCACAGCGGTCACAGACGTCACAGCACCAGTATAAGATGGCTGCCCCAATTGAGGCTTGTACCAGGGAAGAACAGCGTTCTGTTATTCGGTTTTTGTGTAGTGAAGTTGTGAAACCTATTGAAATTTATCGAAGAATGAAGTTTCAGTATGGTGATGCATGTTTGTCACAGCAGCAAGTGTACGAATGGAGTAGGAAGTTTGCAAATGGTGTGACTTCAGTGGAAGATGCTCCTCGTTCGGGTCAAGCACGTCGAGTTGTGACTCCAGAGAACACTGCAGCAGTTGAAGCTATAGTGAGGGAAAACCGCCGAGTGATATTGAATGAAATTGCAGAAAGTTTAAACATTAGAGGTACGCCACGCGGTGCATGAGTGGTTGCGTGGACTACCAAAAGAATTTTTTTTCTAAAGGAATTCATGCACTTTGTAAGTGCTTGAGGACTTGCACTGAGCGTGGGGGAGATCATGTTGAAGAGTGATACAGCTTTGTAGCACTTGTGCACAATAAATAATACTCAAAAAAAATATATAAGGTTTTCATTTGACTCGCCTACGTATGAGCATCTGCCTCGTGTCATCCCGATTGTGTCAGAATCCGATGTCATGTGCCGACATTTTTGGCTGAGGCAACGCCCAAATTATTCCTATAAGTACAGATGATTATGACTGGACGGGATCAGACACACTGATCACGTCGCTGAACGAATCTCTGTTCGTCGATGGTTAGGAGTTATCTGGGTCGTGGACCCTCATCTCTATTTTCTGTACCAACTGTGTCTATAAGGAATCCAGTAAACTTTGTCGTTTCTTCAGAATTCAAGAAGACTTAGATTTTTTTTTGCTAAACCACGTCAACACCTTATCCTTTATTTTCGGCAATACAAGCTTAATTAGGTGGCATCACTTCTGCTGGTCGGAACTTATCACCTGGTGGAAGCCGTACTAGAAAAGATATTAGAGCAGTGATTTTCTCGAAATGACGGGGTGTTATCATCTGTGCTGTTAGAGATCCAGTAAAGTTTTAGGAGTGTATAGCCCCCATCTTCAAGGTCAGTGAGCTAAGCATGTAGCGAGCAAAAAAGAGATTCTGGTTGCTTTAGTTTTGATATTATGTATATATTTCAGGCTGTAATAACTGAACTAGAACATTTACACCACATTATTTTAAGAACGTTGACTTGTTTTAAGTTCCAGAGTTCCAACTGAACAGTTAGTCGAGAGTTGGGTTCTGCAAGGGAGGCTGAGAAGATGGTGCTATGAGTTCATGTGTGGAGTGTTAACCGCCAGGCAGTGGCATGCCCATGAAGCTGAAGAAACACTGCAGAGGAATAGCCATTGATGAGAGCTGTTACCATGTAGAGACTAGTGGAACTGGACTGAGAACACTTCACATCTAGTGATTTGTAGAGTGGAAATCGGCAGTAGTGTTATATTTACTTGTAGTTCTGAGCAGTGTATACAAGTGGTCAATACAGATCCAACTCACCAGTCCATACACTGCTTATAGTCACACACCCATAACCATTTTATTTACTTAATAGGATATTTACAGTCTACCCTCGATAATATGGAGTAATAAGTAAATTTGCTCTAAGTAGGCATCCACTGATGATACTCTGACAGGCCCTGTAGAGGAATGGTGATGGTTTTAATCTTAATCTTCAGATTGCGGTAGGTCAGACGGCACTGGCTCCTCAGTCTTCTTCTTGCATTTTGTGGGTTGCTGATTTCTACAGCTAGTCTGTTCTTGTGTCCGAGTATGCTTTGATGATAGTGTTTTGACAATTATGTATTTTTTCTATGTAAAAATAAAGGTATCTCTGTAACAGGCTGTGGAAGTCCATAGGGTTGTGAGATGTTGAAGATCCCCCATTTTCCAGACAATATGCTTACAGATGGCAGTGAGGTTGTCAGCCTTACACACTGGCCACCCTTTACCCCCAGGAATATTCCTGGTACTCATTTCTGTCAGAGGCTCAGTCAAACCCAGGGCCATAGCGCGGCTGGAAAGATTAGGTAAATTGAAAAAAATCCCACAACCTTCCGGCTTGTAGCATAGTGCCTCGGCCAACTATGCTACCGTGTCCATTTCTTCTATGACAAATGGGATTTGCAGATCATTGTGGATAATAAGGGGGCATGTGGTAGCGTAGTTGGTTGAGGGGCTATGCTACCAGCTGGAAGGTCACGGGTTCAAGTCCCGATGAGGTCATTGGATTTTTTCAATTGACTTAATCCTTCCAGCTGCACTATGGCCATGGGGTTCGCTCAGCCTCTAACAGAAATGAGTACCAGGAATTAATTAAATAATTTTCCTGGGGAGTAAAGTGCGGCCGGTGCGTAAGGCTGACAACCTTACTGCCATCTTTGAGCAGATTGTCTAGATAATATGGGACCCTCAACATCTCACAACCCTATGGGCCTTCACAGCCTGGTACAGGGATAGCTTTACTTTTTTACTTACTTACTTGTGGATAATGAAGTTGGAGACATACCAAGGTGCTTTAGTTACTGAGTACAAGAATTTGGATTGAAGTCTTTGAATTATTTTTGTGTTTGATGGTTTTGTACAGCCCAATAGCTGTATACCATATGTTCATATGGGTTTTATTATACACTTATGTAGTAGAAGTTTGTTTTCGATGGATAGCTTTGATTTACAGCCCCAAAGCCAGGACATTTCTCATAGCTTTAAATTTAATTTCTGACGCTTTGTTTTGATGTGTTTCTGCCATGTCAGTTTTTGGTTGAGGTATAATCCCAAGTATTTTACCTTGGTCTGGACCAGTATTTTCATATTATTGATGGTAACCTGCAAGCAAGTTATGCATTTCATGGTAAATGTAACTTGCACTGATTTTGTCTGGTATATTTTGATTTTTCATTTGTTGTACCATTGCTGGAGGAGGTTTAAGTGATGTTGAAGATGTTGTGATGCTACTACTGGATCATTATTTGCTGCTAGCAGGGCTGTGTCACCCGCAAAGGCTGCAATTGTACTGTTGTCTGTTATGGGCAAGGCTTCAGTATAGTAGAGGCCCCATAACGCTTCCTTGCGGTACACCTGATTTCACCTGGTAGCAATTTGAATATGAATTATAATTTATTTGAAAGTCTTTCAGTAATGCATGACTTTAAAAGTCTTAAAATCAAAAATACATTTCGTTTTCTTAACTGTTCTCCTTATTTTTCAGTGCAATTGGCAGTGGGAGTGAGCTGTGTCGATTGATCTCCGTTTGAATTGAAATATTTTTGTAGTATTTTTTTTTTGTTTTCCAGTTCGTGTTCTTTCCTTTTTTAATGTTTTGCAATTTTATATGTTTGTGTTATAACTTTCTTTCTTCTTCTTCAGTGCAATCAATCTCCTTTAGTTCACCCAAATAATGCCTCGCAGAAGATCAAACTTAGGTCGTCGTAGTCGCGGAGCGGAAGCAATTCACTCAATCTGCCACAGCAATGCGTGGCCAGGTACAGCTAATATATATATANGAGACAGAAAACAGGTCACAAATGGAAGTAAACAGCTGTAATGGACACAACAGATTTTCTGTGTGTATCATCACTAGGTAGCAACACAGTCCAGCTTCATGACAGTCTAGGTAGCAGACTCGCATACCCATGTGCAGAGGCTGATTTCAGTAGTCAAAATGGTGACCGTTCTGTTGTGCATTTTTTTGTGTGCAAAAGGATATACATAAAGAAATGTTTCCTGTTTATGGTGTGAAGTGTTTATCACACAAAGCAGTTCACAACTGGAGCGAGAAATTGCTACCGTGGTGGCAGATGTTTCATTGATGATGAAGACGTTCAAACAGAAGTGTGGAAATGGTGAGACGACAGTCAAAAGACTTCTGCAGGTGTTGATGCATTGGTAAAGTGATGGGACAAGTGTCTCAATGTTGGTGGAGGATATGTCGAGAAATAAATGATTTCTTGAGGTTCAAACATGACATTTGTGACCATTTGCTGACTCTCTCTCTTGGAAACAGGTGAGCTGGGTACGTTCAAAATTTACTGCTATGTTGGACAGTTAATCTATATCTTGTCTCAAGCAATATATCCACAGATGTCAGGCTGACAGAACAGATGTTTTGCTGCAACTGTTGTATAAATGAATTTGTGGTTTTGCCAATAATAAAAAGATTAGGCAATTATTTTTCTCAAGGATGTGAATTCTGCACAGCAAATGCATGAATAAGCAAGTATCAGTGACAGATTTTTTTTTGACAGTGTATCATAAAGGCTGGCAGGAAGATAGTAAATACACGTCTTGAGAATTTGAGCACAGATGGCTGTCCCTTGTTGTGGCTCAGAAGCAAACATCCATCAAGTGCTTCATTCTGAAAATGATCAAACAATACTGGCCAACTGAAATTCAAATTTAAACTTGCTTGTTCCAGTTTTTTTTCACTAAGCAGGTTAGTGTAGTAGTGGCAATGCCCTACCCATGCATTTGGGAGATGCTTGGATTGAATCTTGGCTAGGATACTGGCTGATGGTTTTCCTCAGTCCCTTCATTAGGCCAAGGCCACTTCCTTCCAAGTGGTTTCAAATACAGTATCTGCCAATGATCCTGCCATTTGACACAGTATAATCTCAAATGCTTGGGGGGAGAAAGAGAGAGATTCTTTTCTGAATAAAAGGTATAAAAAGGTTATAGATATTGTCCATAAAATTCTTTGGGTCACCCATCAATCTGTAAGCACCATATACCATTCCAGTGCAAAGTAATTGACTAAATCAGTAACAGTCTTGTGTTTGCTAAACAGAAAGTTTGCAGTTTTATAGAAAACAATTCTGACAACTATCAGGTAATAATTAAAGATTACTTTTGAGACAGTTAAAAATCTTTATTTTTTAACAAGTGTTTGTAGACCAGACATTCAGTATCACTTCCCCTCATGACTGTGTCACAGGTGATAGTTGTAATGCAAGAGGGACTTTTCTGAATGGGGGCTTTAGTTATGATAACAGGTTACTTGGCTGGTGCTCATTTCAAGTCTTGGCTTTTAACTTACTCATTTGTCATTGTCAATTAGATGAACAAAACATTTGAACAATTCACAAAATAGGTACTTAAATTAAAAGTCTTAATCAGTGTTGGGTAAAGTATACGTAAAAGTATCCCTGTAATTGGCCATGGAGTTGTGAGATGTTGAGGTTCCCACATTTTCTAGACAATCGGCTCACAGATGGTGGCAAGGTTATCAGCCCTACGCGCTGACCACCCTTTACCCCCAAGAACATTCCAAAAATATTCCTGGTACTCATTTCTGTTAGAAGGTGAGTCAACCCCAGGGCCATAGTGCAGGTGGAAGGATTAGGTAAATTGAAAAAAATGCAATGACCTCATCGGGATTCGATCCCATGACCTTCCGGCTTGTAGCATAGTGCCTCAACCAACTATGCTACCATGTGCCCCCATCAGTGTTGGGTTATTAACCATAAACTGCATCTCACACTAACAGTGTGCGATTCTGAACATAAATTGAATGGTAGATTATTTAAAATTTAGATTAAAAAAGCATTAGGAAGTTATGTATCAACAAAGATAATATTACAGCATACGAAAGTGTAGACCGTATCTTCACAAATAATCAGAGAAAGTACCAGGCATATATACAAGTATTTATGTTATAAACATGCTGAAATAGAGAATAAGGTGTCTATCCAGATGGATAGTTCTGTTTCGTGCTGAAAGTCTCTTCCACACTGCACACTTCCACCTGCAGAAAATCATATATTGATACACAGTGAATACAAGATCTTAATTTCTGAAGTTCACTAACCTTGACTTGAAGAGTTCTATCTTCTGGGATACAATGCCATGTATTCTGTTTAAAGTCAACTGATGTTTTGGAGGAACATGTGGCCTCCATCTTCAGGGTTGAAGAATAAGCCAAGTAAGAAGCCAGTGTGAAAACTTTTACATGGCTTTCAGTGGTCTACATGGCGTTACATCCCAGAAGATGGAACCCTTTGTTGTCCATACCTTGCACTATTGTCATGGTGCATGTAAGGGATGCATCAGAACTAGCCCTGTGCTGTTTTCAGTATAAAAAAGAACAACTCTTGAGTTAAAATTCAGCCGTCAGCAACATAGCAGCGTGAGACCTAGATTTCCCATCCCTAGCCATACAGGTTAATCAGGCAGGGCTTACAGAGACAATGAGTGCCATTTCATCATGTGCTAGTAACGAAAGATGACAGCCCATATCAACAGCAGCATAATTGGTAAGTAGCACAGCTAGCTGATTCGAAAGTCAGCAGGGACATCAACTGTTCTGAGGATTTTCATGGTTTTCTTCAATCCTTCCAGGCACATATTGGTATAGTATCTGGAGATATGAAACAACTGCTTCCATCTGAATCTAATCAATTTTATGATATGTATTCAATATCCTCCCATTTAGAAGTTATGAGCATATAATCTTGCAGCAGACAAGATACATATCTTCACCCAGGATATGGCTGCTTTCCTTGTATCACAATATATAGAACATACAGTAGCTAGAACTATAAAAGCAGGAATGACACACAAATTAAGAAATTAGAAGTATACTCATGTCATAAAAAGAGACTGGGGAGGACGGCATTGTGACATTTATGGGTGTGCGACTGTAGATGGGGTATGGATTGGTGAATGGATTTATTGACCACATATACACACCACTCAAAACGACAAGTAATTACAGCATTATTGATGGACTCCACATTTTACAAATCACTAGGACATGACAAATCTTCTCATGCTTCACTAGATGTTTCCTGGCGATGGCTTCTAACAGTGGAGATTCTTCAGTTTCCCACACTCAGGTCCTCTTGTCACAGCCACGCATGCAGAACTCAACTCAACTGCATAGCCCCATCTCTTCTCAGTCTCCCTTGCAGAGCTCAACTGAACTGGATTGCCCCAAATTTTCTTCATAACCCCTCGGTGCAGACCATATTGAAAACACCATTCTTCTACTGTTGTGTGCATGTTCGTTTCTGTGGGAATGTGTTTACTGAGCCATTGCTCAGAAATGACCGTTTGTTTATTTGCCTATTGCATAGCAAAAGCTGTACTATTTGTTTTGAGGTGTTTGCCTAGCAGTGTGTCTATATGCCACAGTATGAAAGATATGCAAGATTGCAGTACTTGTGCATGGTTTCTGCAGTCATGGCTGCCACATGTATCAGCAAAAGGAGTACAGAGTAAATTTCATCATGTCTTTGTGTGTTCTCTGTGGGGTCTGCAGGAGGAAGTAGGAAACAGAAAAGTTACATTCTGAGATACAGAGTATGCAGGAATTTGTGTCTACACTTTATAATTCCTTGATCAAACTGATGGCTACTGGGGGCCTCTTGCACCAGGGACATGAAGCTGACCATTCACCTTCATCTAGTGACAAGGTCAAGAAAGGTGGAGCTATACCTCCACTCCCACTGCATGTTTTCATGGCATAATGCTTAACTAATTCAGCACAGGAACAACTTTACCTTTTTATCTTTTACAATTGAGAAGAGGGTAATCCCTTGATAAAAACTTACCAAAATATAATTTTCACAGAAAATTGAATTCAATGTGGCAACATGATATATGTTCCCCACAATTGTTTTTGTGTGTGTGTGTGTGTGTGTGTGTGAAAACCTTGCACTAGTCAACATTTTTATTTCAGTGCTGATCAAGGAATTGTGTAGTAGAATTTGTAGCCACAAGTGTATACCTTGCATGTTGCTATACCACATTACATTTTAATTGTATTCTGCATGGCAATTCTGCCAAAATTTCATCAAAGGATATTTCATCTCAATATTCATTAAGAAATTGTGTGATGGGGTCTATAGGTGTCAAATCCTGGACACACTGTTATGTCGGATTAGATTAAGTTGTATGCTTTACTAGATGTAAGATATGAAAACTAATGCACTTTTTTAACCTTTTAACAGCCGAATTGTATACATGTCGCAAGGAGGGACCCGAGTTGGCCGAATGACACGTATACATGTCGCAGGACACTCGCACTCTTTAGGAGTGCTGACAGTTTGACCTTGGGTTTGAAACCAAAAGAAACCTACGTGATGTCATGTCAGTGGTTCATTCCTTAGCTCTGAACAAACAAATCGTTATCTCGGTCCTGATTTCGAAACTATTTATGTTTATATATGACTGTTTATGACCTGGTGAACCAAATGTAACCCAGCTTTGTTCTGAGAACTGAAGAGGAAATATTCATCGGTGCTTACAGATCAGTGCTTCCAGAGCTTTCAAGGAAGTGTGACGTATTCAACGATTGGTTTTCAGTGGCGAATTATCAGTTAGGAAGTCAGTGTCGGATTGTGTTATATTTCTTTTTCACTTAAAAAGTGAGTGTCAGACTCTCATATATTTCTGTTTATATTATTTTGTGTCTCGGAAGAGGTATAAACCCTCTGGGTCAGTATTTGTTTGTGAGTAGAAGGCATCTTCGTCACTGTGACTTTCTGTATCAGTGTCGGACTGGCACCTTTTCGACTACTAGTGCAATTATTATTTTTATTGCTAGTGGGGTGGGACTAAGTCTCTTGTACTGCTGCCACTTCTGGCCTATTGTACCATACTATTACAGTTTGCATCACTATTTTGCGAGTCTTTGTGAATCATCATAATTTACTCGATTTTGCTGGAAACCTCCCTCCCCCAACATGGAACCTCAAAAACGTGCCCGATATTGCAAAATTCTCGATGCAGAAGAGCCGGAGGAAATATTGATGGAAGAGGAATCTGATGAAGAGCTTGAAGATATCAGAGAGTTCTTTGAACCTCGAGCAGATACGTTGTCGTCATCATCATCAGACAAGGCAGAGGAAACAGAAATTAGGTTTCGTGATAGAAGACCCGGGATTCGCCAGAGGTAATAGACTTCACTGGTCCTCCGAGTGGAATCAACAGATAACACACAAAAAGTTCCGCGAAATATTGGTGCGGGATTTTGAATTGTTTCATTGTTGTGCTTTTACACGTCAACATATTGTAGCAGCGTCCACACAACGGGCATGACTGTGAACATCATAAACAGCGACAGTGTTTTCATAATTGTAGTAAGTGCCTCTGATGATGGTTGTGTCAAACCGAAACATGTAAGGCAGAAGTGATAAAGAAGTGACCTACAAATTGTTACACTCGACGGACTTTCTGTTAACTTTGTGATTGGTGCGGGATTTGATTCTTCAGTCACATGAGGCGAATATCACAGTCAGTGGCGTTTCTCGGGGGAGGCCAAGTTCATCTCGGGCCAAACTGAGTCTACTGGAGGTGAAACATTCACAACACTGGCCAGCCAAAGGAAAACAAAGATGTTGTCATATTTGTTCTCAGAATAAGAAGCGCAGAACCACGGCCTACTGCTGTAAAAAGTGTAACGTTGCGCTCTGTCTGGAGGACTGCTTTGAGAGATGGCACACACGCGTCAGAGTGTGAGATAGCCTAAACTGTGAAGTGACGCAGTTCAAACTTGCGTATAGTCTGAACAAAATATTATTATATATAGTGTGATCATATCTACAATATCATCATGATTCAAGATTGAAGAAAAAACAATGGGTATGTCCTTTAGAACTTCATAACATATATAATAAAGGGTATGTTTTGCATTTCATGACAAAATATTCACAGTTAATTTTCATTTGTAAAATTTCTTCTATTATGTATATGTAGAAAATTGTATTGTTTTTCGGGTTCTTTTTAGTTCATATTTCTATGTTGCATAGAATGGAAAATATGCATTTTTTTCTAAAAGTTTGCAGTGATAATTAAGTAGGGTGATTTAAATTCCAGCCGTACAGGGCTCCTGGCAATTTAAAAGTCCGTACGTTAAAGGTTAAATCTGGTCGTAACTTCCATTTGCTCTAGGTTTACTTCACAGTACTGTCTACCTATGGCAGTTATGAGAGGTCAGTTACAGCTTTGGAATCAGTGAGAAATTGAGGGCAAATAACCAAATTACTTAAAGGTCTTTATGAGCATTTAAATCACAAAATGAATAAAATGTGAATGAAACCAGGGTGGGGTGGAATAAATGAGATGTTCTGTGGTTTCAAATGGCACTATTGTATCAGTACTTCATGATAGGTGAGTGTGGAGCACTGATGGAATGATGACTGGCGGGAGTGAGCCAAAACACCCAGAAAATAAAAGTTACTCCAGTTCCACCGTGTCCACCACAAATCCCGCAGAGACCCCTGGGGTTGAACCCAGGCTCCAGCAATGAGAAGTTAGTAAGTAAATGTCTAAACTATGGCACGCCCTCAATTCTGAAGTAAATATCATATACACTATGAAGTACAAATGAAAATATTTGTAAAAAATTAACATGTAACAACACATTCTACAAAACAAATACCTGCTTTTGAAAACTTTTAACGTTGTGTATACATTTGTCTCCATGACTGAAAATCAGCAGACGTTCATACGAGGCTCGTCCACAAAGTAAGTTTCCCTGGGGCCTTTTGCAGAAACAAAACACAATTTCATGGAAATATCTATTGCAACAGATACAGCAAGTGTTCAGCTATTTTTCAACATAATTGCCACCGGAATTGAGACATTTGTCATACCGTGGGACCAACTTTTGAATACCTGTATCGTAGAAGTCTGCTGCCTGGGATTGGCACCACTGTGTGACAACTATCTCTGCCTCTCTGTCATTCTCAAAATGCTGATGCTCACCGGACAGGAATTTCTTGAGGTCTAGGAAAAGATGGAAATCACTGGGAGCGAGGTCCAGGCTGTAGGGTGGATGATTAAAGACCTCCCAGCTGAACTCCTGCAGGAGACTTGCTGTCCGTCGAGCCGTGTACGGCCTAGCGTTATCATGCAGGAAGACAATACCGGCACTAAGCATCCTGCGCCACTTGTTCTGAATGGCCCGTTGCAATTTCTGCAGTGTTTCACAGTAACGTTCAGCATTCACCATCTCACCTCTGGTCAGGAAGTCGACGTGGAGTCCCAGAATACTGTGCACATGACTTTCCACGCTGACAATGTCTTCTTGAATTTGTCTTACAGGGAGATCGACTGTGACGCCAATGCATTGACTGCTGCTTGGTTTCTGGGGTAATGTGTGCAATCCACGTTTCATCACCTATGATGATCCGGTCCAGAAACTCGTCACCATCATCATGGTACTGCTGCAGAAATGTCAGTGCTGACTCCATGCGCTTTGTTGTGTTCTGGTGTCAGTTGCTTCGGCACCCACCTGACGCACAATTTCCTGAACAACAGGTGCTCTGTGACAATTTCGTGCAACAGGGAGCGGGAAATCTGCGGGACATGACTGCTGAGTTCCGTAATTGTGACGCGACGATTCTCCATAATGCGTTCCCACACAAGCTCCACCAGGGGGTCTGTAATGATGGATGGCCGCCCACTGCGCTTCTCATCATGCACACTTTGTCGACCTGCTGAAAACTATCTGCACCAGCAAAGCACCATCTGCTTGCTCATGACGTTAGGCCCATAGACTCTGCACAGCTGACAATGAATTTCGATCGGCGCTATGCTCTGTGCATTCAAAAACTTTATCATTGACCACACTTCACAGTCGGCGGGAGCTGGAATAAGAGCCTCCATCTTCAACAGCTGCAATGATGCTACTATGGGAATGCAGGAAATTCCGTTAGTGCATGTCCCATGCTGTGTTATTGCTCTATCACATCAGCGCAATATAAGATTTGCTAGCTGTGGGACTAGTGGGAAACTTACTTTGTGGACGTGCTACGTAATACTGTGGCATGTAGACCTGCTGCTAGGTGGTGAATGTAGAACAGCCATTGCTAGGCAGTGGCCCACAAACAACATAGGAATGGTGATTTCTGTGCAGGCCATGCCAATATGTTATAAGCAGGACAACTGGAAAAAATGAGTTCCTTGTGGGACAGTTGTCAGCTGGTAAAAATGTGAGCATGGAAGCAGAGGACATTGATGGGATCCTTCATCAGGCAATGACTGATCAAGACACAGCAGTCTGAGAAGACTCAGTATGTGCTGTAGTGAATTACAGAGTGTGTGAATTAGTGATAGTGCTATAGTCACTTGTAGTTACGTTCTGTAAGAGTTCAATAAATCCANAATTAGTGATAGTGCTATAGTCACTTGTAGTTACAATTTTCAATAAATCCAATTACCAATCCAAACCCCATCTATAGTCACTCTATCATGTGACAACTGATGTCAGAAGTTCTGTAATTGTACAGTAACTATAAAAACTACCTCCATTACCTTGCCTTTCATAAAATTGTGATTTGCCACAGATGGTTAAATCTCTGATACCTACTTTTTGACTACTGCGGTGCAATAAAGGCTGTCAAAGTTGGCTGAATTGCTGATATAAACATGAACTTCCAAACACTAATCATTTCTTATACTCTGTGTGATGAATGAAGATCAATACAATTATAATAACATACTCTCAAGATCATGAAACTTTAGTGAAATTTGTATACAAACATTTTCCTCAGTTCCCTGAAGACCATGACCACATGCTAAATAGTTTCATATGCTGTATCAACTGGTGCCATTCCTGGGCCATTAAGAAATTCCTCTAACTCATCATGTTCCTGTTCATCTTCACGAACCTTATGACTTGATTTTTTCTTTTTCTTTTTCTCGTCATTTTGAGATTTACTGTAGTCCTTCTCCTTGCTACATTTTTTCTTGTATTTCTTTGTACTTTTCTCTTCATTCTGTAATGAAGAATCAGACAGGAGAAAAGGTTACAAAATCCTAACAAACACTGTCAACTAATGCACAGTTTTATATAATGATACTTTCCTAACTTATTAGATTGTCCCATTTTGTTGACACAGAGACCTGTACTTTTGGATCTGGTGTGTCTTATTTCATATGAACATGGAACCTCTACACTAAGTTGGTAGGGTTAAGCTGTCCCTGTAACAGGCCCATAGGGTTGCGAGACACTCAGGTTCCCATATTTTCTAGACAATCAGCTCACAGATGGTGATGAGGCTGTCACCAGCTACCCCTTTAGTCCCAGGAAGATTCCTGGAACTCAGTTCTGTTAGGAGCTGAGTCAAACCCAGGACCATAGTGCGGCTGGAAGAATTAGGCCAATTGAAAAATCCAGTAACCTCACTGGGAACTGAACCAGCAATCTTCCAGCTTGTAGCATCATGCCTCAACCAACTACACTCCTGCATACGTCACATTAAGTTGGTGGAGAGGTTTATTTATTTATTTAATTATTTACGGCTTATCTTATGATGCTGTCAGCAGCCCAGACTATATAGCATTGAATGGCATGATCATTGGTGACTAAAGAATTTGAGGTAGTGAAATGATATCTGCCTGGAGGAACTGATGAAAACTGAGAACCTGTCAGGATAGTTGGTGTCCCAGAGGAGATGTGCATCAAGCACCTCCTGCATTCAAGTCAGACGCAGTGGTGAGGAGGTTTGTGTGGCCTTATCTCCTGGACACATATGATAGCAGGTAGGGTCTCTCCCCTGCCTAACAGGTTGAATGATACAGACCAGACAAAAGTAAGTTCCCGGTCCTCAATGTTTGAAGTTGAGCATGAAGCTAAGAACCTAATGATGGATAAAACAGATGAATAGCCATCTGCTGTGAAGAAGGCTGCAGAACCAATGCCAGGCTCAGTTAAATTGGGTGGGAGTGAGATACTCTTCTTTGTTATAAGTTCTTTTTGTAGAATGTAAATGAACAGCCTGGCCTGTCTCCACCTTGTCGTGGTAGTGAGGCTTTTGTGACTCTGTGACCTGGAGAGTTATGCTGGTGGTAGTTTAACTACTGGTAGGGTCAACCATCCCAGAAAGGTCAAACGGTAGAGTCCAGACTAAGAGATACCCCGGTCCTCGAGGATGGGGGGTGGGCATGGGGCTAAGAACCTCATCCTGTAAAAAGAATTTTGTTCAGAAACCTAACAACCAGCCTCAGATAAGTGGAACATATGGGAAACAGACTAAGCAAAGGACAAGGAATAGTGATATTGTGATGCCAACTTGGAATGTGAGATGGCTCGACAATGTTGAGAATGACCTGAAGAAGATGGTGATAAGATGGATAGAGAAGGTGAGGAACAGAGAGCAATGGAGACTGGCTGTAGAGGAGGTCAAGGCTCACCTAGGGCTGTAGCACTGAGCGGTAGGTAGGTAGACAGTTATAACCTGTGCTGAATTAATTTTGCGATGCATAACCTGAACAGTACATGCATACTAAATCTTACATTATACAATGATGATGATTTTAGCTAATCTAGATGTATTTTTACCTTCCCTAAGATTTTTTTATTGCTAGTGGGTTGGGACTAAGTCCCTTGTACTGCGGCCACTTCTGGCCTATTGTACCAGCCCCAGATGATAAATGAGGGTGATTGTGGAGCAAGTGGTGGAATGAAGATTGGCAGGGGAAACCGAAGTACTCAGAGAAATCCTGCCCCAACGCCACTTTGTCCACCACAAATCCCACTTGGCCAGACCCAGGATCGAACCCGGGCCACCACAGTGGGAAGTCAGCGACTAACCGTTTGAGCTATGGCGCGGCCATCCCTGAGATGGTCAAGCTCAAGTGATGTGTGGAGTTGAATATATCTCCACTAATAGATGGGGCAGTTTCTAAATTCCTTTACAGGTGGCATACAAAAACAGCAAGATTTCTGCCTTGTTCATGACAGGTGAAAGTTTGAATGTGTTCAGAAAGTTAATTTTGAAGACACATGTTTATGAATGTTGCATCCATAAGAATGTGGGCATAACAAGGAAGTCTTGTTGAGCCATGCCCATGGTATTAAGAGCTCTGCAATGTAAAAGTTAATGCTGTTACCATGCAAAGAGTTTTGGGTATACCTTCTCCTTGTGTTTGCTTTTCTTCTTGTCTCTGGGAATGACTGGACTTGTGCTGCCAGAGCACTGCTGCAACTGCCTTGGCTCCAGCAGTTCCAGGTGCACACTCGATGATGCTAGGCTACCACTGATATCCTCTTCTTCCTCGTCCTCTCTCACAACACTGCTGCTATGGTTACTGTCTTCACCACCCTCAGGGCTTCGCCGCCATTTGCTGTCGGTACTTAACCAATTATCTAATACATCTGCAGTAATCTCAGCTACTTCACCGTTCAAATTAAATTCTTCAATTTTAGCAGTCTTTGTATTCTCGATTATGATCTCATTTTCTAAGCTGGATAGAGAATCTCCTTTTTTCAGCATGTCTACAGCATGTTGACTACTGACAGTATTTGGCAGATTATCCTCCGGGTCAAGGTCATCTTGGAAGCCAGCAACTAATGGGTTCTCGGTTTCGGTGTCACTGTAATGTAACATTCCAGTTATTACAACAGGAAAAATTAGCTACAGTAAACACAGAGGGATCCACCTTAGAGGGCCTCAACTATAACACTGCATGCATTTAAATTTGTGGCATGGTCAACAACAGCCCAAACACATTACAATTATCTGTCAATGTCACCCCCAAGTAAATGTCCAAACAGCCACAGCAAGATAAGCTTATGCATCCATGATATGTAAGCGATGTCCGTCTTTTAGTGCACTCAATTTTACCTGTTACTTCACAACATGGTTCGGCACTACAGTGCCATCATCAAGTGCTCTATTTACGTCAATCTATTTCATTGCTTGCTATTACGTCATTGTAAAATTTAAAAAGTATTTTAAAATGTTCGTCAATTATAATAAATATATATACTAAAAACTTGTTAAGATTATTTATCTTATCTGTCCCAATTCCAACACCATGCATAGTTTCACCACTATGGGAGACATTCCTCTTATTCTCAGGGTATATCGTGTCTTGTGTTGTGTGTTCCCTGTTTGGTTGCGGGTGTTATGCTTATGCATTATATGCTGGTCCACCTAAAAATTTTAAGCCTCACAATACTACTGCTACTGCTCAGAGTTAGTGGGCTTTTGGACTCTGTCCATCGTCTGGTATTCTAAAAACTAGAAAACACATTTTGGAAACTGGATCTCTTTCCAACCTCAGGTGAGGGGGAGGGAGACACCTACTCTGTTGGGTCCCTTAGAAAGAGCCAACCTCAATCACTCAGTAGAAACAGATACAGTTTCTGAAACGTTTTGTTTTCTAGTTTCTAGAATACTGGATGCTGGACAAAGTCTGAAAATGCAGTAATTCTGAGTATTATACACCACTGTTAGAACCCTTTAGAATCTACTGCTACTGTGTTTGATATGCATGCCAAGCAGTAGTAACTCATCTGTATTACTTCCTGTACTGAAATGCTACATGCCAGTTACATGCTGGACCAGTGAGTCTTCATGTATGATACCTATGTGAAGAGCAGCTGTGTAAGGTAGGTAGGAGGATAACGCCAGTGTAAATTTCAGGATGTCATAGTTCCAAATATAAACAATAAATTCTGGCAGGAACTAGTCACCTATTTTCCTTTTACTATATACTGAGTATCTAATATGGTGCGGACTACATAGAAAACATCGCATGTAAAAGTTCTTCTGTTGTTGCAACTATATTTGTTGATGTGGGAACATTGAGCCCTTTACCAAAAACAGTAATCTTTTCTGGCTTCTAGGAGTTAAGGGCAATAAGGAGACAGCAACATGATCTCATAAGCCTCTTTTTATTTTTTCAGTATAAGGAAAGTAGGGTAAAAATGGCCATGCAATCATAAATACAAAAGAAAGGGTTGTTCTGAGGGAGAGAGCCACAAATCATATGTTGAGTGCCCTCAAAGAAGAGAAATTGCCCAAAACAGGTGCTAGACTTGAACATTCTCCTTGAAAAATCCCTCAGAAGCTTTGCACAGGAAACCAGAAGCAATTATTGCCATAATAATATTGAAACTGAAACCTCTCTGCAGATGTGCAAGGAATGCTTGTGGGGCAGTGGACAGCCATTTCCAGCATCTGCTGTGACCTAGGTTATGTTTTATTTGTAATGTGTAGCTGTTGCTGATCTGTCGACTATCTCTCAAGTCTGAATGTGTGCAGTGCAAGATGATGCCCGTGTACCTCCTACCTGATTTACCAAAGGATTTTTTGGAGGCTGTCAGATGACTTCCTTGTACATAAGAATGACAGCGTTTGGTCACAGCAACTAATACATTGTCATAAACATAACTATTATTCTGGACATATCCACTGTCTTCATTTGTCTCAGAAACTGGAATCTGTTTCTGTCAACAGATGTTAGGATCCATGGTCCAGCTCTTTCTAAAGGACACAAATGACTAGAAACATTTCTCTACTTGCATGTAGATTTTCCTCAGTCACTGGGCTCCTGAACATATGTAGATCATTTCCTATTCATTTCTATACTGTCAAGTATTGAAAATCACTAATGTATTGCAAAAAATTGCTGGGTTGTTAGGTAAGCCAGCAGCAGAATTACAGGAAGTTAAAAGTGTTCACTTTAACTGCCTACAGTTACTGAGGAATATGTACACTGAGCTATGTGGGATGGTCCTCACTTCTTCCCATGTTGTGAATAAGTACCTATCTGATTCTATCTCCAGGCGCTGCGGAGTACCCCGCTCCTGAAAGTTCATGTCCTCCAAGAATGACCTGTCCAGTACTCCTTCATCAGGTACAAATTCTTCCACGCTTGTTATAGGCTGAGGGATAGAAACAGATGCGAGGCTTTGTCTCCTGCGTTCTGATAGGAGAGAACATAGGGCAGGCATTAAGTGGCAATTTTATATGATATCATTTGACATAGAAGTGTGTATAACTAATGCATGAAGCTGGGATGTCTCAGTTGGTGAAGTGACTTGCTGCACATGAATGTTTTGATTCCTGGCAGGAAAAGGCATTCTTATCTTTACCCTTGCATTCAGACTACGTCTAAAGCCCACCCAGCCTCCAATGCAAATAGTTTCAGGGGCATTTCTCTGGAGCATAAAGTGATCAGACTGTGATGTCACCTGCCATGGTGACAAGTACATGAGGAATTTTCTTTTTCTGGACAATTAATAGTTGGTTGAGGCACTATGCTACAAGCTGGAAGGTCACGGGTTCGATTCCCAATGAGGTCATTGGATTTTTTTTTTCAATTATCTAACCCTTCCAGCTGCACTATGGCCCTGGGGTTGAATCAGCCTCTAACAGAAATGAGTACCAGGAATCCTCCTGGGGGTAAAGGGCAGCCAGCAGGTACGTAAGGCTGACAATCTCACAGCTATCTGCGAGCCAATTGTCTAGAAAATGTGGGGACCTCAACATCTCACAAACCTATGGGCCTCCACAGCCTGTTACAGGGAGAGCTTTACCCTTTTTTAGTGGAAAATAAATAAGTGTTTTCTGGATGTTACTGGCAAATTTGTTAAAAAATATTTATTATAATAGCTACCTTCAATTTTATATTTTAAGATAAGTGAAATGCCTGCTGAATATTGAATGGGAAAATTTGACAATTCCCCATTAATGCCCTTAGTTTCCTCTTACAATATGACACTCTTATGCATCATGATCACTGACAGCCAGTAGATGAATATGAATGCCATAAACTTGCAAAGTTCTAGAAATACAGTCTGAATGAATATGTGTAGTATTAATAGTTTAAAAGTGACTAATTTTGCAGCACTCCACAGTGTAATACTGACTGATACCGACTGAAACACTGGCATCCTGTTGTTCTATCATGCATAAAGATTAATATTGCGTTTGATTTTAAGATGAAGTGACAGGAGGTTGGAGAAAACTGCACAAAGAGGAGCTTCATAACTTGTACTCTTTTCCAAGTATAATTAGAATGATCAAGTCAAGGAGGATGAGATGGGCAGGACATGTGGCATAAAAGGGGGGAGAAGAGGAATACATATAGGATATTGGTGGGACAGCCAGGAGGAAAGAGACCACTAGGAAGACCAAGACATAGGTGGATGGATAATATTCAAATGGATCTTAGAGAGATAGGATGAGGTGGTATGGACTGGATTGATCTTGCTCTGGATAGGGACCAATGGAGAGTTCTTGTGAACATTGTAATGAACCTTTGGGTTCCATAAAATGTTGGGAAGTTCTTGAGTGGCTGCACAACTGGCAGCTTCTCAAGAAGGGTTGAGCTCCATGAAGTGAGTCAGTTAGCTCCTCTACTGGAGAAATTGTCTGGGTAAGGCTGATTTAGAAGTTACTGAAGCAAATAGCAACAGAGATGGATAATCCTAACATGACTTGGTTCAAAGTCATCTTTCCACTGCAGGACTTGCACATATCTTTAAACATTTAAACAATTGTTTCTTTTTAACAAAAATTATAAGAAAATCGTGATATATCAACAGCTAACTTACGCTGGAATCCTTCCTGTATGTCCTTAGGTTTGCCAAATATCTTTGACATGAAACCTGAGCTTTTGGAGCCAACTGCTGACGATCCATCTGGCTTTCCACTGGACGAGAGAGATTCTACTGACTGTGATGGCATCATCTGCTGCTGTTGTACGGAATTGTGAGACTGTGAACAGCTAACAGCTGTGCTGCTAACATTACTGCTAGGCTGTGGAAGTTTATTCTGCTCAGAAGTATCTTGAATACTAACGACCTTTGGCATCAAGGTGGGGTGAGACCCAGCAATTGGGTTTCCTGCTCCGATCGGACCGGGCAATGAGGAACTTCGTCGGACATTTGGTGACAAATTGTTCTTGTTTCCTGTTTGTGAGGACTGTGCTGAAAGTTGGTGACTGATATGAGAAGTGGGACCAAATGCTTGCGCTGATGTGGATGTGCTTGCTGGTACCACTGAAGAAGTGGCACTGGAATTAACATCTGCGGCCTGACGACGTTTATTCACAAGATTATCGAGGAACCTGAGAAGGAACCAAACTGAATATTACTTTTGCTTCATGGGTGTACTGAAACCCACAACATTCATATAATAGACTCAATATAAGAAGATTCATAAAAGGGTTCTTGCACAGAGTGCATTTACCTGGGAGCCCATCGGCTTCAATTTGCAAGGTTTTAAAATCTGATTCCACAAGGTATTTAACATTTGGTATATTTATTTAAAAAATATAGGCCTATACTACATTTCCATGTGTATGAGACACACTTTTCCCCTAAAAATGGCTCTAAAAATCATAGAATTTTTCACACACTTGTTCAACTTGTAAGTTAGAAATAAGAATGAAAATAAGGTAGCAGGTTGATGTCAGAGGACTATGTTTAATTTTTATTTTGTTCATTATTTAAGGTAGGAACATTAATTTTTCTTTATAAAAATAATTTTATTATAATTAATTAATGACTAATAAATATTTAATTCCCTCTTCCTAAACCAATGCACATCTTATACAGTTATGTCTTATACATCTCCAAATGCAGTGTCATTTATTCAGTAATGACTGAATCTGTGGAAATAGGGGATATAATTCTTTGTATTCTTTAACTATAAATAAATTATGTTACTGGAGCATCATACAGCTGTTTCATTGTAGAACCTCATGCTGCAGTGTTGTGAGACGATGAGAATATGAACGGGTATCATGAGGAAATATCATCACAGATCAATATCATTATATCATTAGCCAAATCTGCCCAAAAAGTTTCAAACTATCTTTTGATCAATTTCAGAGGCAATCCGTGTCATATAAGCTGTTATACAGGGCGTTCAATGGTCGAGGAAACCTGGCTACAGCGCTCACTGGGAACAACATTCCTCAGATTGCTGCTGTAACTGCCGATAGCAGAATGAGTCATTAACGCTGATAAACACCTGCACTCTCGCTAGCATAGAGTGGCTGGATCATTTCTCCACGACTACTGTGCCCTTTCCCGCTAGTGATGCAGATTCCCTCACATCAGTTTCTGTACATGTGCACATTTGTAGGAACACTGTAGAAAGATAACAAACTTACCGTGCTTTATAACAGGTGCTGAAAGTCACCCCCTTCTGCCTGCAAACACGCCTTGCATAGCATAAACAAATTATGTGACACTTTCTGAAGTTGGTCCATGGCAACTGAACTAATTACACGTGTTATTTCATTCTGCAGAGCTTCAGTGGTGCAAGGATTATTCTTGTAGACGTTTCCCTTTAGATTTCCCCAAAGATGAAAAACACAAAAACTGAGATCTGTGGATCTGGGAGGCCACAGTCCCCTGCTGATTATTCTCTCTTCAAACACTTCCCGTATTGTGACCATGGATGCATTAGCCATATGTGCTGTAGCATTGTCTTGCTGAAAATACCCATATTGTCTTTCTTCAGTAGTCAGCTGTTTGAAGAACAGATTCAGTATGTCATTAATGTAGCGATCAGAGTTCATGGTTTCATGGAAAAATAAGGGGCCAATGATTCACTGTGGACTTACAGCATGCCACACCCCCATCTTTTCATTATGTAATGGCACTTCCTGTATAGCATGAGAATTTTCATTGCTCCATATTCTTACATTTTGTGCACTGACATGACCGCTAATGTGAAACCACACCTCATCAGTCATGAACAGAAGCTGCGGATCCACTATTCCATCTTGCACATTTTGTAGCAGCCAGTTGCAAAAACGAATTCCTGCTACATAATCTGGTTGTTTCAGTTCATGCACAACTTTTATTTTATACGGGCGAAATTTTATTAATTTTGTGGCTGTGAAAACAGAAACTAGCAAAAAATCGGTTTCCTGTGCCAAGCGTCTTAACGATTTTTGAAGACTGATCTGTAGTCGTGCCTCCATATCCCAAACTTCTTCTTCAGTCAGCACAATACTCTTTGATTGCTTCTTTATGTCACACACTGAACCTCTGGCCCACCACTTTTTCACAAGCTTGGATACACAGAACTTTGTGAGAACTGGCGACTCAGGATACTTACGACGAAACTTACTGATACATTTTCTGCAAGGTTTTTCCTTGCAAAGTTTTTGACAATAAACACACGCTGTTCAATAGTGAACTCCGTTTCAGTATAAATGTCGACCGCCTATCGACATCTCTACCATAGACTGACTATTAACTGCAGTAACAAGATCACACCACCCAACGGTGCCAATTTATCAGCGCTAATGACTCATTCTGCTATCGGCAGTCACAGCAAAAATCTGTGAGGAATGTTGGGCCCAGTCAGTACTGTAGCCAAGTTTCCTCCTTGATTGAATGCAGTGTAGTTTACATAAAAATAAAATGACATAACAAAATAATTTTACTTGTCATCATACATATCTATATATACAGAATGTCCATAAATGAGTGATACACTTTTAATTTGTTATATCAAGGTAAGTATGAGTGATATACCATTGCAATGCCATTTGAATGTCCAGATGTGAAAGTTTCACACTCCCTAAAGATGCTCATGACCTGACATGTGTCCTGTCTGTAATCCAGCCCATACCATACTCTTTCTAACATGTTCCTATCAATTGTCTCAATGGCTGCAGTAATCGTCAACTTCAATTCATCAATATCCAATGGCAGAGGTGGCACAAACACTTCTTCCTTTACATAACCCCACAGAAAGAAGTTACACAGAGTTAGAAGGGGAGAGCGAGGAGGCCACATCATCCACTCTTCATCTGCAGCTCCAGCTCTCTGAATCCAACAGCTTGGTACCATGGCATGCGAACCCGTCTGCGTAGAACTTCCTGCACCATCATTTTCGGAATCTGTAACTTATGGCTACCCTTCCGTACAGATTTCCTTGCACCTCGACTGAAAGTGGCCTCCACCTGCCGTACAGCCTCATCACTCACATAAAAATGGTCATTGCCTTTTTTTACAAAGTGGGCCTCCACGGCCTGTTACAGGGATAGCTTTACCTTTACCTTACACCAATCCAGTGGCTAGCTTTGGTGCTAGTGATGTTGAAATTCTGGGCTAGGCTACCATAATGTTAGTTGCAAGGATTTCGTTAATCTTTATGACCATGTATGTGGTCCCGATGGCTGAACATTGCGTATTTTCTGCACTAATGAATAATTGAATGAACAGCAGGTGGGCCACAGTGGCCCTCATATTGTGACTGTCAGTAATCTATAGTGTGTCCCATTCTGATTAGTCTTTACACCCCACTCTTCAAAAGAGTTAAGTACCTTACTTTAACCCTACTGCCGCAATACCTGACTGAAGTCAAACAAGCATTGGTTACAATATAGTGCAACATTCATCTTTAGATTGTGTCAAGAGACAATCTGCTCCTTTCACTGTATCATTCAACTTCATAAAAATAATAGGCAGTGAAAAGGTTTTGCGGCATCTAAGTAGTTGTCTAGTCCCATAAAGCAATCAGTCACACAGGATATATGAGGCTTTCAGCATTAATACCGTAAACTTCAAAATACAATCCAGCCAACAGCTCTATAGTATCGGGGATGTGAGGTCCCTTATTTCTGGATAATAAAGTTTAACAGTAAGAATAACATCTTGTCCCTGGCCAGACCTTTTGAAAACAACTGCAAGGCTGTGATAATGTTTTGATTATGAAGTTCAATGCCATCTGAATCACCCTATTCAAACTTACTTATTATAGTCAGCATCATCACTCTCTTGATATAGATCCAGCTCTTGGGTTGTGAGCTGTATCTCATGCTCATTTGTATCAAGCTGTCCTAACAAAGTCTCCCTCTGCAGCTGCAGAAATGGCAAGTTGAAGAATTTGTGCAATAATTTTAATCCAAATCCATTCCTCATTGACGACTCTGCGTAGCGGACTTGCGCTGATCTTGGCGGCCTGGAAAAAGTTAACTCCATTTTGGACACTTCCTCAGAAGAATATAACATATTTAAAGGCAAAATATTTTACATTATTACACTTGATTTACAATACTAGTTTTTTTTTTTAGTATCAATTAGTTTTGCAGTCTCACATGCAACACAACAGGAGGGAACACAACTCACCACCTCAAACACATGTGCGCATTGGTAGCTGTAAAGTCATCCTTGTGCTTAATTAAGCACTATGCCATGAAGATATATAAGAAGCAGATGTCTTGACCCATATTTTCTTGGCCTTGGCACTAGTTGGATGTGAGTGGTCAGCTTCATGCCCCGGCCGCTTTATCCCCGGGGAAAGAGTCTCTGGCACTTGCTGAATAGGAGGTGGGGTGGGCCCCAGAGCTGGTCTGAATGAGATGGAGAAGTGACAATTCTTAGCCCAACCAGGATTCGAACTCCAACCCCTTGGTTGTCCAGCCTGTAGCCAACTGCTATACCGACTGTGCTATCCATTCTCTCACATGCACACTGAGGGGACTATATGTCAACAACTTAAGCAATGATACAGAAGACAGCAGTTTCCTCAGCCATAATTTTAATACGTGATGATGACCACACTGGTCAAAACATGTAGCATGCAGAGACTGTGGAACTAACTGATACTAAGTGAAGAAGTGCAACATGATGCTACAATATAATATTACTAGTATTTCTGTTTCACCTTTGGCAATATGTCCTAACAGTGAGAACAGATACTGATGTCTTACCCCTTTCATTTACGAGTACATGTCTAAGAGCAGCCATTTACTGGTGCTCTGTCAAAACCCTGCTGTAGCTGATCAAGGTTGAATAAAAGGGTGATGCCATATCTTAGGTGGTCAGCCACTGGCTTCTCACTGTGGTTACCTGAGTTCAATCCCAGATCAGCTTTTGTGCCATCTGTGGTGAATAAAGTGGCACTATGGCAAGTTTTCTCTGAATACTTCAGTTTCTCCTGCCAAATCTTATTACACCAAATGCACCATTTCCTTCATCTATCATCCAGGGCTGGTAAAATGGACCACTTACTGTGCAAGTACCAAAGGACTTAATCTTACCGCACCCTAAGAATTATAGAAAAAAAAGGCTGAATAACAGTGTTTTGTGACAAAACAAAATATTTCTCATTCAGAACATATTCTGTGCATATGGTTTTGTCCCTCTGTCATTAGATGGTATATGCAGCTACCCTCTGTGACTCCTTGGACATATGCAGAACATGTGCCACACTTTCATGCAGTATATTGCAAACCAACCAAAGTAATGAAGAAAATGACTGGGCTGTGAGATAAGCCTATGGCAGGGTTGCTGGAAATGGAAGTGTTAAACTAGAACACAAGTATCACAAGCTGGAAGAATACTATCTTTTGGGATGTGACGCTGTGTAGTCTGGTAGAAGTTTACTGACACTCTGAAGCAGCATACTGATTACCTTCATGGCCTTTCACCCTGATACTTGCCTCCTTACCTCCTTTGGTTGCTCCTCAGCCATACAGATGGAGGCAATATGCTACTGTATAACAACGATGAATTTCTACCAGGTTATGCAGCATTGCATCATAGAAAACAATATTCTTTATAGCCATCATTGTGAGACCCTCAAATCGACAATAATTGTAACCTGAAATCTGAATGGTTGAGGTTTTGTATAACTTGTCCTCTGGCCTGATAAATGTAGTCTTCTACAAAGGTAAAGCTATCCCTTTAACAGGCTGTGGAGGTCCATGGGGTTATGGGATGTTGAGGCTTCCACATTTTCTACACAACTGGCACACACAGATGACAGTGAGGGTGTCAGTCTTACATGCCAGCTGCCCTTTATTCCTAGGAAGATTCCTGGTACTCAGATTCCTGAGTCGAGGACAGGACCATAGTGTGGCTGGAACAATTAGGTCAATTAAAAAATTCAGTGACCTATTGGGAATCGAACTCTCAACCTTCTGGTTTGCAGCATAGTGCCTCAACTAACTATGCTACTGTGTGCCCTTTCCAGTATGCCATTATATGATGTTCTTACCTCTCTTGGCTCTCGATGAAGTAAGTCACATGATCGGAAGTCACTGTCCTGTGATGGGCCATATCACAATGATTAGCCAGTACTAGCACAGGAATGTGAGGAGGTACTTTGGGTAACTCACGCTGCACATAATCAAATGTCCTGTAAGAAACAGAGTAAGTTAAATAAATTTTGCAAAATAAGTTATTTATACTGTCACATATTGGTGACTAGGCATGGGATTTGGGTTGATAACTGATTTATTGAACACACCTAACTGGTAACTACAAATAACAGTCTCACCTAATTCACACGCCCTGCAGATATCTACGACTACAGGAGACATAAAGTCTTTCGTCTGTATACTAGTCATTGCTAGGTAGTGGCTGCTAGAAATGTGACCCAAGCCTGTCAGCTGACCTTCGACTAGCTGTCATCTAACTTGCTTGTCCAGTTGGTCCTTCTTATATGACCTCAGCATGGACCATGTACATGTAATCACTTCCAATGGCTCCTCCACCATTGCACATTCATTTGTTACTGTGGACAGTTTTTACCATGGTGTTACCTGGCATGGCCGCATCTATTCGTTCCACTATTTTGACTTTAAACCTTCTTGTTATGATACGAAGTTTATAGAATTATTATTCTTACCAACAGAATGAAGTGGACAAAAAGAGATTACCAGAGAGGGTGGGCTTTACGCTTATAATTACTGAGTACTTCACAGCAGTCATTGTTCAGGTTCTCTGTTGTGATACATCTAAACTCTGAAGATGGAGGCAGCATATCCTTCCAACTATAGAATTAACTCCGTAATTAAATGTGTTAAAAGTGAAAAATCATCAATTCAATTTTTTTTTCTTAACGCAATCCTTAACTTTCTGCTTACTCTCTCATTCTGAATCCTAACTGAGAGACAGGTTCTCACACGTAAAGGGTAAAGCTGTCCCTGTGCCTGTCTAATTAAGAACTGTGCCATTAGGATTATGTGGCAGTAGATGTATAGATACATGTAATCTTGACCTCAGCACTAGTTGGAGAAGAGTGGCTAGCTTCACGTGCAGGCCACTTTACTCCCAGGTAAAAAGAACCCAGTACCCATTAAACTGGAGGCTTTATGGGCTCCAGAACCAATGTGGATGACATGGAGAGGAGAAAAATCTTGCCCATACCGGGACTCAAACTCCGACCCCTTGGCCATCCAACCCATAGTCAGTCGCGATACCAACTGATCACACATACTTAACAAAAACTGACTGAATCCAGCTAAACTATTTTCCTGCTCACCAACTTTTTGTAATGTCCATCATAATGATGACTCCGTTAGTGCCCTTGTATACATCGAGAAACTCAGCATCTAAAGCAGGTTCTTCGGTCACTTCGAATTGGCTGTTCTCAAGTTTGAGCCCATCAAATCGCTTCTTCTTCTTACCCCGATCAACTACATCCCACACTTCCACCTTCACTACGTCATCAGTAGCCTTATAGCTCCACTGAATACTAGCCACCTGTAAGAAATTATTCCATTCTGAAATAATGAATCTCCAGTTTGTTAAGAGGTTTACAGCCTGAATGGAATGCCATGATATCTGAGACTGCATAGAGAGATCATTTATAAGAGATTATATTAGAATAAATAAATTTTATAAGCAGAATAATAGTATGAAGAGTACTATCTTCTGGAATGTAATGCCATGCAGTCCGTTGACAATCTACTGACATTTGGAGGAACATCTTCAGTGTCAAATAAGCCAAGCAAAATACCATCATGAAAGCAGTGACAAGCAGAACGTTCATGCGATACGTTCCTCCGAAATATCGGTTGACTTTCAACGGACTACAAAGTGTTATATCCCAGAGGATAGTAGAGTATATTTTCTGTGAGGTAAGAACTGATCTTTAAAATATATTTAAAGAACTTCTCCCTATTAAAGTTTATCTAAAAAAATAAGTGGGTGACGTATGTCACACGCACCATAACGTCAGTGCTGTTCTCATGGGTAACGACAGCAGCCGTTACACTGTGTGCAGTTGCATATCATTATGTTTCTTTTACTCAGTGATGATCTTCACCTGCTCAGCTTTGGTGCTGCTATTCCAACAAAATATATGTAAGGTACCAGGCACACAGAACACTTGAGCAACTTGAGGGAAGGTGAGATGTCATAAGCAGAGACCTTGGAAAGGAAGGAATGGTGACACACTGGTAGGCTATTTGGCAATAAGAGCCTTAACTAGGCAGCAATGTGACATGTAGACCCACTGCTAGGCAAGGAGTTGGTAAACACATTCACATGGCAATGAATATGCAGGCAACAATCAGATAACTTCTGTTGCTATGCAACAGCACTGTAAATACAACAAGACAGGCAGCGGTGTTTTTATGGGTCTGCCTTGAGACCATATAAATAGTACAGAACAGAATAAAATCAGAATGAGAACGAGGAAGTCTGCTGTCCAGGAAGATGGGTTGTGAGTATGAGTGACTGTAAAGGCCATCCAATCAAAAGCCAGTTATTATTCGTAACGACCATACATATGTGACAATATAAACACAATAAGGAATCCTCAAAATATGCAAAACATATCCTGGTTATGCAACATGCATAACATAAAAAGGAAGCTGTAATGGAAATATTAAAAATGATACCAAAGACATGGACACAAGGCAAGAGTAAGAACAAAGCTGCAATTTACAAATCAAAATAATGAATTATATGACTCACACTAACAAAAGTTACATGTTTTACACCTGGCAATAACAGACACTAAGCAACCCTAGAAACAAACAGATTCAAGTGCTGAAGCTCTTGGTGCTACAGCTGTTTATATACTAAACAGTGACAGTGGCATAAAGGCTTAAAAACTGTCCACTGGGGTAGGCTGTTTTACAACGCTTTCACTGTCACAGACTATATAGCACTGAATGGTAGGATGATATATGAAGGGGGACCCAAAAATAACCAGAAACGACCTGTTGCGCACGCATGCTTTGTAGTTACGAGTTGTGCTGCTAGGTGGTGTTAGCTGGGGGTCTCCCGTGACTGTTAGTGAGCTGGCGTCAGTCTGAGTTAAGTGGTTTGTCTGTGGTGCTCTGTTGTGTGCGTTCCTGTTTCAACCCTTTGGCGATTAGTGAGATGGCCGACCAGAAGGAACAAAGAGTGTGCGTGAAATTTTGCTTTCTGTTAGGAAAAACTGCACTTCACTCTTCAAGTCGCAGCAAACATTCACGCGGTTTTCTCTTTGGTCATCTCCGAGCAAGTGAGGAACAAATTTTGCAGACACCCGTCTCATGTGCAAACCTTCGGTTAAAATTCGCTGGACCGTGCTCCATGAGATGTTCGTTTCCTCAGAAAGTTGGTCAATGGTCTTTCGACGATCTTCATCAATTGCACGTTTGATTTTGTTTGATTTGTTCCTTCTGGTCGGCCATCTCACTAATCGCCAAAGGGTTGAAACAGGAACGCACACAACAGAGCATCACAGACAAACCACTTAACTCAGGGAATAAGAAACAGTGACCTGAGTCTGGATCCTCTCCACTCCGAAGGTGATTAGACAAAAACTGTTTACTTTTTCGTTCACATAACGTTGCACATGTGAAATATATGAGCAGGATGTGCCTGGCTTGTTTTCATTATAAACCAATTCAAACTGTGGTTATATCCCAACTGGAGTTATTTACTTTTCTTTTTGGCCCCTTCTTTTCATTTCACTTTCCTTCATGATCACTGTGTTTTATTAGTAACAGAGGTTTATTCCCCAATGTCTTCATTGCACGGAACTCAATTAAGCACAGGGACAATTTTGCCTTTATGCCTATCACATGAGATGATACTGGTGATATTTGAAAACAAAAGGACCTCTTAAGCATATTTTAATTAATACAGTAGTCATTAGATTGCTTTTGAACTCCAATATAAATGAAAATATTTACTTTATATTTCCATACTGCGCTTAAGCAAAATGTCATAAAACATAATTCAATAATGCCAATAATTTTATAATAATAATAATCATCATCATTGCAAAAACATCACTTTTAGAGCCATAATTCCTTCAAAGATTCTGCCAGATGGCATCCACTTTTCAATTATTTTGATTTTGCAACCACATGTGTGTGTGTGTGTGTGTGTATATATATATATATATTGTGACATGTCTAACCATTGCTGGGCAACGGGAGGTAGAACGATTTACCACGAAGACAGACCCTTGATAAACTGTCGGTTGCCAAGTTACGCAACAATAGAAACAAGGTTACGCAACAGTAAGGAGAGTGGTGTCTCTCCGAGCTGAGCCAAGCCAAAGCATGCTGGTTGCTGCGCACAAACAAACAACTCTCAGCAGCATTGCCCAGCAACGCCTTTGTAAACACGGCGTCACACAACAGGAGAGCCTGTGCAACGACTGTTGCTAGGCAATCGGTAAACAGGACGTTATGCAACAGTGGTACGTATCACGTAACTGTTTTCTGTGTTGTCCGTGCCGAGCCTAAATAAGGAGCAGCAAACACTATTCAGTAGTGAGTGAGTGCGTTACTAGAGGAAGTAACCAGTCAGTTGCAGTCTAGCATTCGTCGGAGTCAATGGCAGTGACTCCTACAGGAGAAGTATTTGTGATACTGCAGATGGCAGTACTTGTGAAATTGTGAATTGTGTGAGAGCGAATGTGCAATAAATTCGCTATATCCAATACAGTGTGAAGTTATTTGTCACATGCTATACACCCAACACGTGACAATTTGGTGTCAGAATTGGTTTACGAACTTGAACACGCCTCGATCTAGGAAGAAGTATTGAATTTACGAGTATATCGAGTGTTATCCTGCCAAAAAGAAAAAAGAAAATGGAGGAGCAAGACATTCAACTAATAACTGAAATGCTGAAAGGAATTAAGGCCAACATGAATGCCTGGCAGGAAGAGACGACAGCCTGCCAAGATGCAATGCAGATAAATTCAAGAGAAAAGGAGGATGTAGTGAAGCGACAGAAAATTCCTAACGAAGAAGAAGAGATGATGGCCTGACAAAAAGATGGAGGCACATCCAGAATAAAGATTACACACTGTGCAGGACAAAAGCGTATGGGAAAAAACAAGAATAAGGTCGCACCAAAAATCACCAAGAAATGGACGTTTGGGAAGGGATTGTGGAAAGGCCCGGAATGCAACAGTGGCATAAGGGACCGAGGCCGGATACAGCAACTACAAGGCATAAATGGAGTGGAGGACCTAGGAGGCGGACAGCCGCGATATCTGAAGAAACCAGACCTGAAGGAGGTACAAGTGGAGGGCACGGCAAATTCTGACATGAATTTCATGAAAACTAGAAGACTGGAGATCAGTAGGCGAATGGTCAGATCTACTGTTGGGTTATGAAAAACAAGAAAATGTACCTTGAGGAGGGGTAGGCCACCTCCAAAATGGAAAAAGAATGGAAGGAAAGGACTGATGATCCACTGTTAGGCTATTCAGGATGATCAGCCTTAAGAAGGGAGCAGTGTGACATGTCTAATCATTGCTGAGCAATGGGAGGTGGAACAATTTACCACAAAGACAGACCCTTGATAAACGGTCGGTTGCCAAGCTACACAACAGTGTAAACGAAGTTATGCAACAGTAAGGAAAGTGGTGTTCCCCGAGCCAAGCCGAAGCACGCTGGTTGCTACGCATCAATAAACAACTCTCGGAAGCATTGCCCAGCAACGCCTTTGTAAACACGGCGTCACGCAACAGGGGAGCCTATGCAATGACTGTTGCTAGGCAATCGGTAAACATGATGTTACGCAACAGTGGTACCTATCACATAACTGTCTTCTGTGTTGTCCATGCCGAGCCTAAATAAGGAGCAGCAAACACTATTCAGTAGTGAGTGAGTGAGTTACTACAGAGGGAATAACCAGTCAGTTGCAGTCTAGCAGCCGTCAGAGTGAATGGCAGTGACTCCTACAGGAGAAGTATTTGTGATACTGCAGATGGCAGTACTTGTGAAATTGTGAATTGTGTGAGAGCAAATGTGCAATAAATTCACTATATCCAATACGATGTGAAGTTATTTGTTGAGTGATATGCAGCCAACATGTGACAATAAATANTAGAGCAAGGCCATCAGCCTTATGTCCAGTCCCGAACATGGAGGAGGAGGTGGTCTCTGTATTTATGTCTCCCAGTGACAGGGTGGCCTAGTTATAGCCCCAGGCACCGGGTTCCCTTTCCATTGCCTTCTACAACTCGCAGGATTGCAGTGGAGATATTCTAACCCACCTCCATATGGGCTAATTTCATATTAATCATGAATTTAAAATAGTGGCCTCTTGAAAATCTTAGAAATAATCTATTAAAAAACACACACGCGCACACACACACACCAAAAAAAAATCCATATAGTTTCAAAGAATATGAATTACATGATTACCTGAATCTCTTCTGTTGGAATGTATTCTTCAACAAATTTCTGTCCTTGGAGCCTATGGAATAAGCAGGTCTTGCCAACATTCCGGTCACCTTTAATTATTATCTTCACTGGAAATCAAAAACAAAAAACATTTGAATTTACTACAAAAGCATCAACACTGTGTTTCAGTCATCGCGACAATTCTGATGATGGAGACAGAAACAGTCTCTTAAATTAACTCCAACTTCATGTGACTTAGCACCCTGTGAGACCAGCATACAAGTGATGTCAAAGCCTCAAATAAAATCGTTTCTTTCTTTCATTGATATTGTATATTTAAGAGCCTACCCTTCTTGTACCTGACCCGCCGAAAATATGGTTACTCAGATAATATAAGTACTTGTGTATCAGCATTTATGGACCAATGTTGAGGAATTCAACATGTACGAGTATATATATGTAAAGGTTCAATTAAGCCCACATATAAAGTGGCCCCTAAAATTAATTAAAGTGATTGAAACTTATTATTGGCGTACACTAATAACATTTTAATAAATACAAGAGTACTATCAAGCATATCACCTTGATAATACGTAATTATGAAGCCTACCATGTTTCAGGCTCAAGTGGCCATCTTCAGAGGCGTTTAATCTTAAAAGAGAAGTTCACATAATTTTGCATGAACTACATAAAATTTGCTATGTGAATCATTCAAAATATATCTGATAACAAGATTTCATTAACATTTAAAACAGATATGAGGCAGGACCCTGTGATGTATCTTGTCTAGTGTAGTGGAGAAGGTCATGTCACAAAACTGGGCTAAGTCTTACACTGTCTGTAAATATAACAAAGTATCAGTGATTTGTACTATACTGGATTTTGTATATGATTGAGTATTAGGGATACCACAAGACCTGATCAAATATGTAGATCGTAACAAAAGTCATGAGCAACTTTCTTTGCATGCAACCTGGGAACAGCAGACGAAAGAGAGTATAGTGGTAGGTGGAACTAGCTGTTGTGTTAACCTTGAGTGTCTTGTGACGTCAATAGCTTGCATCACGTGACCACTATCACTCCCAACAAACTGGCCAACAACGATATGTCATTTCACCAGCGTGCTGTCATTGAATTTCTTGTGAAAGAGGAAATCTCTGCTGCAGAAATTCACCAGAGACTTCAGCGTGCTTATGGAAGTGTGTGCATGGGTGCGAGCATGTTCGAAGATGGGTGAAACATTTTAAAGAGGGGAACACCAGTATCGAAGATGAGCCTCGGAGAGGTCATCCTCGAACAGCCTCAACTGAACGCAACAAGGAAAGAGTGGATGAGATCATTCAAGATGACAGGCATGTGACTGTGGACACAATAGCCTGAAAGCTTGGAATAGGGCACAGTGCAGTACAGGAGATGATTGAAAGCTTGGGCTACAGGAAAGTTTGTGTTCGTTGGGTCCCGCGGTTATTGACCAAGGACCACAAAGGTCAGTGAAAAGCCATCACCTCAGGACTGCTGCAGAGATATCGACACGAAGGCGATGATTTTTTTGCTCTGTATTGTGACAGGTGACGAAAGCTGGTTTCACCATTTCGAGCCTGAAATGAAATGGAATGGCAGAGTATGGAATGGCACCATTTGCATTCTCTATCAAGAAAGAAGGCAAAGACAGTGCCATCAGCTGCGAAGGTGATGGGCACAGTCTTCTGGGATGCAGGGGGGTTTATTCTGGCCGAATTCCTGGAGCCCGGCCAAACCATCAATGCGGCTCGTTATGTCCAGATGCTGCACAAGCTCCGTCGTGCATTGCACGACAAATGTCCAGGATGAAACATCATCATCCTGCATGACAATGCTCGCCCCCACTCAACTCGCCACACATTGGAAGCAATTGCAAAGATGGGGTGGGAAGTTCTTCCACACCCCTCCTATAGCCCTGATCTGGCACCCTCAGATTACCATCTTTTCGGATTTGTGAAGGATCAGCTGCGTGGACAACGTTTTGAGACAAGGGAGGCAATTCAGAAAGCAGTGTGTCAGTGTCTTTGGATGGCTGGAACAGAATTTTACAGAAGGGGAATTTTCAAACTCCCAGAACACTGGGAGAAATGTGTACAAAGAAGTGGCGATTATGTGGAAAAATAAAGAAAGGTCTGTAGATTGAGGTGGTGTATTTGGTTTGTCAATAATAAAGCATGTTACATTACAAAAAAAAATTTGCTTTGTGAATCATTCAAAATATATCTGATCATAAGATATCATTAACATTTAAAACCAATATGAGGCAGGACCCTGTGATGTATCTTGTCTAGTGTAGTGGAGACGGTCATGTCACAAAACTGTGCTAAGTCTTACATTGTCTGTAAATATAACAAAGTATCAGTGATTTGTACTGTATTGGACTTTGTATATGATTGATCATTAGGGATACCACAAGACCTGATCAAATACATATATACATATGGTTTACACAAACTCTAGATGACAAAAACTACTTAACTGATCACAAAAGAAAATTCAGATAAATGATGCAGTAAGGCTACCTTCCTGCCATCTGTGAATGACAAGTGAAAATAAAGTCAGGGATAATTCAAACTGTTATGGGCAAGAATAAATCTGTGGAATGCTTATTACCATTTGGTTGCTTCCCAGCTGTTATGCATAAGTATAATGACTGAAATATTCAAAACTATAACTGTGTCAGTTCTGTTCTATAACATGTGTGGAATTTGGTCTCTCACATTAAACGAAGAACCAAGAATGTCCGAGAACTGGGTACAGAGGTGTATTTGGACACAAAAAACATAAAGTTACATGAGGCTGGAGAAAACTGCATAACGTAGTCCTTGTCAAATATTACTTGATTGACAAAATGAAGAGAATGAGATTAGCAGGTCATGCAGCACATATGGGACAAATGTGAAATGAATACAAAATTCTGGTTAGAGAATTCTAAGGGAAAACATTACTTGGAAGGCATAACAGTAGGAGGAGAGATTAAGTATATTCATGCGAATTTGAAGGAAATTGGGAGGGTGGGTGTGGGTGGGATTCATCTGGCTCAGGATAGGGGCAAAAGGTGGGCTCTTGTGTATGTGAAACATTGTGTTTCATGAGCTAGGGAATATCTTTGAGTAGCTGAGCACTGCTAGCTCTCCAAGAAGGACTCTCTCTGCTCTGTAGAGGTGGTTATGGGTGAGACATGTTGCCAACTGCAGACTACTCTTGCCTGCTATGAATGTTCCCTGCCATTTCCACACGACCATTTAAAACAGTCCAGAGTAAACAGAAACCAAAACTGACTAACGAAATGTAGCATACGTCATCTATACTTTATCTGGTTAAAATCAGTGAAGTGGTCTGGACCCTGAGGGCATGTAGTGGTGTAGGTGGTTGAGGCATTATGTTACAAGCTGGAATATCATGGATTTGAATCATGATGAATTGGATTTTTCAATTGACCTAATCTGTCCAGCCGCACTATGGTCCTGGGGTTGATTCAGCCTTTAATAGACCTAAGTACGTGGAATCTTACTGGGGGTAAAGGATGACTGGATGGCGCATAAGGCTGACAACCTCACCGCCATCTGTGAGCCGACTGCCTATAAAATGTGGGAGCCTCAAAGTCTCATAACCCTATGGGCCTCCAAGGCCTGTTACAGGAACAGCTTTATCTTTTTAGTCCAGGCCCTTGTTTATTGAGAGACATGGAACTAAGAGGTGGGTTCTAATTTTTTTAATTGCATATTAAAAGCACAAAAATTTCATACATCATTGCTACGACATGACACCTTGTAGTACTTACTATTGTACTGTACTCCTTTGGCAAACTTTCTCTGTAGACTATGTGACATTGACTGATGACCAGGCCGGGCAACATTATTCACACCCTCTGCCTTCCCAGCAAGGCGTTTGATAGCCGAGAACATGACGGGAAACTTGTATGGCCTTCTATTTAATAAATGCAGTTGCGCTAAACATTCCTAAATGTAAAGAATAATAATTGCAAATGAAAAATACTTTTTAACTCAGACCTGTTGATCAAATGTTACAATTCATTGTACATTTAACATACGATGAGAAAACCAAGGACACATACATTAAGTTTGTGAACTATGTGATTCTAAAAGGAGTATAATAAATGTAATTGAAAGTACAGTGTAAGTATGAGAAGTACACAATAAAAATACACAATCACAATCCACAAAACTCTGTCCTGCATGATAAAATAATGGAAAGCCTGAGCAGTTCTATCTTCTGGGATATAACACTGTTTAGTTGTCAAATGATGTTTCAGCAGATTATGTCACTTCTGTCTTCAGGATTCAAGAATATGCCAAGCAAGAAATTGGGGTGAGGCAGGTAGCACTGACTTTCAATGAACTACACAGCTTTACACCCCAGAAAACAAACTCTTCATAATCACCATTGCAAGAACCTCAAATCCTACATAATGGAAAATACATTTAATTATTTTTGTACATTAGCACAAAGCCTGCTGATAGTTCAACAGGAAAATGCTAAAACATGAACTTCAACATTACTGAACTTTAATAATTTTAAAAGTTCTAGAATCATACTTCACTTCTATTAAGATACTGAACTTTCTAAAACAGCAACATGTACTATTACTATTTCATTTTTTATTTCATTTAATTTGTTTTCATTTATTTACAGTCCACAAATCCAATACAAGGTCACAGGATGCAGGATAAAGACAACAGTCCAATATAACAGAAACAATATATGATATAAACAAGTATGATTCACTATAAATTTGTAATAAAAGATATAATGTAAATATAAAATTTACAAGTCACTTTTCAATGCCTCATAATTTAATCTCTAGTTCCATATACAATTTGAATGAGGCTATTATAAACACATGATCATTCAACTTATGTACTGATCACATAAGGACAGAATTTTTTGGTGTATCAGAAAATAAAATATACCTTTACAATTTTTCAGTTAACACCATAACAATGTGGTAATATAGCAATATAAATATAAAAATCTAAATTATTCACTTGATTATATATATATATACATTGTAATGCATATATTTTATATTGTATATCCAGATAAAATAAATTATTGAGTTATTTTATCCCTATAATTAAAGAATTCATCTATATTATAAAATGAACGTAAATGAAGAAACTGTAATAATGCCTTCTTAAATTGATTGTTATTCCTGGATAACTGTTTTATATTGCTTGTAAGACTATTATAAACTTTAATGCCAAGATACTGCGGACCCTTCTGAAATACTGTTAGATTTGATAAGGGGAGATGTAAATCAGAACTATTTCTAGTTACTATTTCATACATATCAGAATTGTCTGTCAACAATTCCATATTATTAACAACAAACATCACAAGGGAATATATATATATATATTGGGAGGGCAGCGGTAGTATTTTCAGTGGGCTAACAATTTTTTTGCATGAATCTTTGTTTCCAGCTCCCACCATTATTCGAACAGCTCTCTTCAGAAATTTAGAAACACTCAAATTACGAGTTCTGTTTCTCCAAAAAATAAAGCCGTAAGACATTACAGAGTGGGAAAAAGCACAATACACCATTTTGAGGGCTTCAGTACATAAGTACTGTTTGGATTTCCTAATTATTTAACAGGCTTTATTTAATTTACCTATGATTGAATCAATATGTTTTTTCCAAGAATTTATGTTATCCAGTGTTATGCCCAAGAATTTTACCTCATTTAACTCTAATAAAAATTTATTTTCATATCCAATATTTAATTTGTTAGTAAAATTTTGTTTAGCTAAGAAATGTAAAGAAACTCTCTCTGATAAGGGTTGACACTATGAAACCAACTCATGTATATGTATGTTCACTGGTGCCATCTCCTGCTTCTGTTCATGACTATCTGCTAAGGTGCATAACGACACAATACCAAATGTTAACCTTTAATATACAATGACCATATGTGTTATTAGGGACCCGTGGTAGCATAGTTGGTTGAGGAACTATGCTACAAGCTGAAAGGGCATGGGTTTGAGTCCCAATGAGGTGGATTTTTCTTTCAATTTACCTAATCCTTCCAGCTGCACTATGACCCTGAGGTTGACTCAGCCTCTAACAGAAATGACTACCACAAACCTTCCTGGGGGGGGTAAAGGGTGTCTGACACATAAGGCTGACAACCTTACCGCCATCTGTGAGCTGACTGTCTAGAGAAAATTATTAAGGTAGTTCTCCTTTGCAAAGCACTGACACATTCTGCTCAATAAACCTCTTCAAATGGAAATTTTTATTTTAAAACATACTATGCTGATCGAGAAAACCAGCAAAAATGTTAATTAGAACAGTAATCCCTTGGCTGTGATTCAAACTATCTGTGCTTATTACCTACAGCATTAATGTGAAGATAAAGTTAATTAAATCTTCTCAGACTATCATATGTATTAGTCAGTTAAAATTTCCAACATCTCGAGGGCCAACTCTGAACCCATCTTCAGTTGATGGGGACAGACATGCCCCCTGAGAAGATTTAATTAACTTTATCTGCTGTAAATAATGCAGGTTTTACAAATGTTACTATGTTGTACCTTTCACCTTATGTACAAATTACTCTTCAATTGTCTAGCAACTTCCTTATCATTAAGGTTTGCATAATGCCTAAACAGGGACATGCGGTAGCATAATTGGTTGAGACACTAAGCTACAAGCCAGAAGATCATGGGTCTGATTCCCAATGAGATCATGCATTTTTCAACTGACCAAATCCTTCCAGCCGCACTATGGCTCTCGGGTAGACTCAACCTTTAACAGAAATGAGTACCAGGAATCTTTCTGAGGGTAAAGAGTGGCCAGAACATAAGGCTGAAAACCTAACCACCATTTGTGAGCCAACTGTCTAGAAAATGTGGGAGCCTCTACCTCTCACACCCTATGGACCTTCATGGTCTGTTACAGGTTCCACTTTTTTTTTAACGGTTTTAAACATTTCATCCCAAGACGTCCTTATGGCTATTAAAACTCGTCTTTAGTTATCTGTCATCCTACAGCTTGCCAATATACAGTGTGAGACACTAAAAGCATTGTTAAAGAAAGTGGGACCTGTTGCAGACACAAAAAAGAATACTTAATTTCAGAAATCTTTCTAACTTATTTTTTCTTCTGCCTGATATTTTAGAAAGATTAGAAATCTCACTGAACTTTCAATAGGGAGCTGCTGTGGCTATCAACATTGCCACGTTAATTTTGGGTGTAAAATCTGATAAGGAAACAAATTTCTGTGCACAAGCAACATTCCACATCTATAAGCCACACACTTAATATGAAAATACCTAACATCAACCTGAACATTTCTTAAAAACAACATATATGCTGTAATACTAAACTTGATAGAAGTAGGTAGGGTTATACTTTTTTTTTGCTAAAGGTGGGCACTTTAATACAGACTAAAACGGCATTTATTGCTGCCATCTTCTGCTACTATTCGTAAACACTTGCTAAGATACATAATGAAATGCAATGCTATTTATATATATAAATAGCACCTAAACTTATATCTCAGTGCTTGAACCTTTACAAGATCTTTTTTTTATTGCTAGTGGGGTGGGACTAAGCCCCTTGTACTGCGGCCACTTCTGGCCTATTGTACCAGCCCCAGATGATAGGTGAGGGTGATTGTGGAGCAATTAGTGAAATGAAGATTGGCAGGGGAAACCAAAGTACTCGGAGAAAACCTGCCCCAGCGCAACCTTGTCCACCACAGTTTCCAAGTTCTTGCTCTGGCATTTACATTGAACTACAAAATTTATATTCGTCGCTCCACTGAAGGAAAACTTGTAAATTACGGTAATACCTGTAACTGCTGGATAGCTGAAATATAAGGTTATTTTCCATCTTCTTACACTAACAGTCAAAAGTCTTCGTATTTTTCAAGTCTTTTACTTGACGTGTGAAAGTTTTAAGATATAGACTGAGACGTGCACTGACACCGTCTTCCCTACAGCCTTATTTTGATTAACCAATAATTAGCCTCACAGCTGGCGGATACTGATCACGCACTTTCCATCTGTCAATGAAACAAAATCCTAATCAAACATTGAACGGTGCATGAACCTTATGTAGTCGGACATGTTCGGATTGTGCTGCTATCTCATGGAATGTTGTAATATTTTAGCGACGCAGGAAACAGTCGTCAATACCTCTGTCGGTTAAGAGGATGGCTGACAATACGGTACAACGTGGGAACCTCTAGTTTTACATTTCCTGACTGTATTATGTTGCTTAACATGGTTCATGCTTTGAATATGTGGCTGGGGAATGTTGGCGTTACGGAATGGGTGGTCGGCGAATTGATATGCCCGAGGCGCAATGGTTGATTTATATCGCAGTTGATAAATTATCGTCTGCAATTTAATCTCTATCAGTTACTAATCCGCAACTTCACCATACTCGTCTGCTGGCAGTCTCGAGCAGGTAACTGATTGAAACACCCACCGTCTTTAAGGCTCCTTTCCCAGGAGTGTTTGAATCGTCTTACAAACCCTAGGTTTAAATGGAGCTACTTCCATTAAACTAGATCAAGGGTCTCCAAACTACGGCCCGCGAAAGAATTGTGCAGAAATGCGCCAATTGAACTAATTTTCCAGTGAGTACTGGTAAATGTGATTCCGAGCTTATTGACCTGACATATTATACTGCAGTTCGATGGCTTAGCTGTGGAAATGTTCTTTCGCTCTTCTTTCAGCTCAGGAATGTAATTGATATACTTCTTACCGAGAAAAACCATCACGAAACACTTTTATCAGATACCGAGTGGCTTTGGAAATTAACATTCTTTGCTGATCTGGTGAACCATATGAACCATTTGAATTTAAAATTGCAGGGTGAAAATAACTTAGTCTGTGATTTATTTGCAATTATCAAGGCATTCAGAGAAAAGTTGATACTTCTGGAAAGCCAAGTGAAAAATTGTAATTTTGTTCATATGTGTTATGCTGCGACGACACAGGTGGGGTTCGATATCCCACCTCTGCCGCCATATGTAATGCTTCGATGGCAGGGGTGGGTAAAAACAACTACTAATTCACTTTGTCAGCCATCTCCGTTGGCTAAACACACCACTGCCACCAATTCGTTATGCCTGAAAGGAGGGGGGGGCTAATGGAATACTACTAAATTACTCAGTCGCCATCCTTCTGTTGGCTGGGCCCTCCGTCACTGGCACCACTTTGTAATGGTGTAGAGCGGGCGTGAGGGTCCTGCCCCGTCTGTACCCACTACCTGTCACGCCACCAAGACTGGGGTGTTATTTGATTACCCTCAACTAGGATTCTCCTGGCTCAGAACCTTCTTCGTTGCATACAGCTGCCGTTGGCTGCCTGGGTTCAGTTCTGCTTTCGTCGGGACGGGGATCGCTCTGGATTGGTCTGGGGAAGGGTTAGTGCTTGGGGGTGAATCACACTCTGGTACATCCTATCCTAACTACATCGGTCTATTTAAACTCTTATTTACAATAATATTTAGAGTAATAACAATGCCGACTTTCAGTCGAGGCTACATACTAGTATCTGTCCCTTAACTCGTTCTCACTTTCCTTCATTGCTCCCACCTAGGGAGTATGACTCGAGGCTGTCCTTTCCTCTATTTCCTACCCTAATGACACTGGTCTGGTACACTTCGATTTTCACCCTATTTACAGTCATAATGCTTCACCCTTAAAATATTCTACTCCTAGAACTCTAAATACTAAAACGCCTAAGTATGTTTATAACGAAATCAATTGACACAACAATAAACAACAAATATGCGTGCTCCGCATACTACCAGCAAATCATAATACGCAATACAACAACGACCATATTTACCACACTGGCGACCTCGGCCATTACTCGTTACACTAATCCTCCTGTCCTACCCTAAGGCTCGAAGGGCACACTGGAGATTGCTTTTCAACATTTCACAACAACAATGAATTTGCGTAACATGGCTAGTATGAGCAAACATGACTTACTTGAGATAGAGACGCAGCGACACCATCACTTGTAGAACCCATGTCGAGCAGAGCCTTCGGTTGCTCGCCTAATATTACGATTTCGATCCGTCCCCTCAACGTCTTTTTTCTCTCTTTATGCTATAAAACTGCTAACGCAGCTACTTCCCCAAAAGTAAGCTACCTCCTCCTTTTTGCCCTTAAATTACAAGCGGTGGGTTCCCACTGGCTAACCGCCTTTGTCGTAGACGAACCCGCGGCGTCTCCTCCCTTGTGCATTTAGCAATTCCACTTTTCTCCAGTGGCCTATCCGATGAACATTTAAAGTCGCTACTTGTGATTAGCGTTTCAAAATTTGAACCTCAATTTAATCATATTTTAAGAATGCAAAAAGAGTTCCATCATTCACATTAATTGTTATATTAAAATTTGTGATGAAAATATGAGCATTTGCTGCTACTGTCTGTTGTCATTAATATACGATAATTTATTCTCACGTACTTTGTATTTACTTTATGAAATTCTGTGCTTTCAGTAAAACTCATATACCTAGAATTATTAATTTCTCATTTCATCCGGCCCGTTGAAAGTGCTGAATTACCTAATGTGACCTGCGGTTCGAAAAGTTTGGAGACCCCTGAGCTAGAGGACTGATTAATGATTCGTTAAGAGGCATAACATACAATCGCGGGAAAGGAGTGTAAGTCCTGGGTTTCTTCTCTGACCTTGGCTATTTATAGGGAAAGAACGTTTTAGTTTTTAAATAGACTTTTATACTAATAAATCTGAAAATAATTAATATTGTACAATTTCCCCTATTCCGTTTCCTGTTAACGATTTACATCTGTCGAAGTCAAAGTGAGAGCTACTTTACGACTGGCGGTTCACCGCCAATCAATTCGTCTTGGAGACAGACCCCTTGAGGCCCACTACCAGAGATTTTTTTCTAACTGAACTCTTGCGGTAATAGTCCTCATGTAACATCCTCTCTGACGGGAAGTTTGCTTTGTCTCTTACGAGACAAATGACAAGGTATCCAAGTACCCAGTGTTTTGGAGACGTAAAAATAGTATTTTAGTGTTTATATATAACCTAATCTATCACTTATGACTAGGGACCGGATTTTAATGCAAATGCATACTTCTTTCTTGCAACCAGAAAGTATGCTCGTTTGGATATATGTATGAATTACTTCATTTCTTAAATTTTGGACATGGTTTGATGGTGCATATAAACGCATATTTTGCCTGTTTTATGAATAAGCATTGTAACCGTTCCACTGCTGTGCTGCCTATTTAAATGTGATTTATGCTATTCATTTGGAATTTAATTGTTGAATGTAAGGACATGAACAAGTGTAGTGAGACTTAGGTCAATTCTTATATTTAAGAGCTAGCGTCTTCCCACGCTTACACCAAAAGCAGGGAGATGCCCGTTAAAGATTTATTATGGGAAAGTTACGTAAAGAATGGCTAAAGAAGTCTTTGTGAGTTCTTTACTTGACAATTTTCTATAAGCTATATATTTTAGCAGGGTGATGGGTTTACGACCCAAGCCACGCTATACATTCGTCACTTTTTTGACGGGAGTTCATTAAGACAGAATTTCTTCACCCCTTTGTAAGAGCTAAAGTGATTGGAGGAATGTCTAATTACAATACCTCTAAATTTTAAACTGACCAATCACGGAAATTTGAGTGTGCGATAGAAGAGGAACGCTGGTAAAATCCAGGAATTGAACGTCCGAGGAAGCGTCAGTTGTCAGCGTCAGTCAAAAACCAGGGGTCGAAAACCGGGAGTCGAAAGAACCAGACGTGAAGTCGAAAACCGGGAGTCAAAAAAACCAGACGTGAAGTCGGAAATCGGGACTCGAAAGTACCAGACATGAAGTCACATACATACATCTAGATCAGAAGTAACTTTGTAGTAACAAGCTGTAATGATAAAGTGTAATAATCTGTTGTGAAGTGTGAAACCACGGTTAGAAGTATAATAATAATATTAAAACAGGACGAGCTAAATTTAGAAGGTAGCAAACAGTCCAACAGTAACAAGTGTTTGATAAATTGTAAAATGAAAGTGTCGCAACTGATCAAGAGTAATAATAATACCTCTGACATTCAAGTGTGGTGGTGTTGCATAAAAGTGTCCTACCTGCCTTTCTAAGTGTGGCCCGTTAAGACCTTGAGACAGAGAACTCAGCTCTACCGCTCAGAACAACCTCACCCTTGTTAATCCTATCAACCCTGAGAAACTTAATCCTATAAACCCTGAGAAGTATAATCCTAACCCTGAGAAAATAAATTACGAAGAAATAGAAAGGTAGGTGGCGTCTTCAACAAGAAGGAGAAGAAGAGGGTGAGGAGGAGCAGTTAAAGAAGAGGCGCTTCCAACGAAGACGTCGCAAGGAGTCCACAGAGTACGGTTATAGCGTCATACTTTCGAAGATCTCTATTTATACTGCATATTTCCTTTTTAAAATGTTTATCATATATATTTTTTAATTTAAGTTCAAATTTTCAATCATGGTCGCGTGTATACAATTTTTCTTTTCCGTATTAGAATATGTTGCATATTTGACTCAACATTTCGTCATGATTCATGTTTCTGATGCAATACCCAGGACGGGACTTCCCCGATCACTCTACTCGTTACTTGCCTCATCCGCGTACCATCAAAGTGGCCGCGAAGAGATTAGTCGGAAGCGTTCACATGTAGCCGCTATCAACATAATACTATTCAACCGATAAGGGACTTCACTTATTTATTTCCGAAGTCTCCATGAGGTTCGTTACGCTTCTTCATTTGAAGTTGGAGACCATTCACATTTGTTGTGATTAGTCTGTAATTAAGTTTGTTTAGCTTTCTGTAGTCATGCCGAAAGTGAAAGTAAGTCAGAAAACTAATTAAGTACGGATAACGAAATTCTTGATTGCCGAGCGTGTGAGAAAACAGTTGGTTGTGAAAAACGCTATCAAGTGCTTCAGCATTTGAACACTAATGTACAGAAAGAGAATATTAAAATGAAATCCAAGAAAAGTGCTCCTGTTCAAAAATTGCTTAGTGAATTTTCTAATAATAGTTTTTCACAATTTTCCTTTTATTTATGCCAAGCCGTTTTAGTGGCAGATATTCCTCTGTGGAAACTAACCAGTTCTACTGTGATAAACTTCATAGAGAAGTATACACAGTGCAAAGTGCCAGATGAATCTACTATGTACAAAAATTACGTGAAGCAGTGTTACGATCTTACAATTGAAAGCATTAGAGATAAGATTCAAGATAATTTTGTGTGGGTATCAGTTGACGAAACACAGGATCCTGAGGGACGGTTTATTGCAAATTGTATAGATGGGTCCCTTAGTAAGAATGAACAATCTACCCGATATCTTCTTGCGGTAGAGCAATTTGAACCCACAAATAGCTCCGCAGTTTCCGAATTTTTTATCAATTCCGTGAATTTACTATGGCCGAATGGCATTCAGAGTGAGCGCGTATTGCTCTTTGTGACTGATGCCGCAAGTTACATGATGAAAGTCGGTACTGCTCTTAAATATATATTTCCAAATATGACACATTTGACTTGCCTTGCTCATGGGTTGCACCGTATTGCAGAAACAATTCTTGCAAATTTTCCGCTTGTTGACAAGTTGGTTTCTTCTGTGAAGAAGGTATTTCTTAAAGCGCCATACAGAAAGGAAGTCTTTAAAGCAGCAGCACCGAACGTTCCACTTCCGCCAGAACCAATTTTAACGCGCTGGGGCACGTGGCTGTGTGCAGCGAGTTATTATACCGAACATTTAGAAACAGTTAGGAATATCGTGAGTACATTTGATCCAAAAAAGTGCAGCATCAATTAAAATTCTCCAAGATGTACTGAAAAACGCAGAACTACAAACTAATCTTTCCTATATATCTGCTCACTTCTGTCATCTTCCATTCGCCATTTCTTCACTGGAGCCAAGCAATAGCAATACTACTTTGTATCAGTCGTTAAGTGTGTTCAAAAGCATTGTTTCCAAATTGAATTCGGTTCCTGGAAGAGTTGGTGAAGTAGTAAAGGAAAAAATACACAACATTCTTTAAAAAAATCCAGAATATGAACAAATCTGTGAAATTGAAGAAGAAATTTTAGCCGGTAAACGTACTGAACTACCAAGTAAAAAATCACTAACAGTGGAGCAAATAGCGGCTTTTGTACATGCGTCCCTAAGTTCCTGTGAGGTGGAAAGAAGTTTTTCCAGCTATAAGGACATCTTACTAGACAATAGGAGGCGACTAACTATGGAAAACCTAAAACATGTAGTAATTGTGAACTGCAACTGAAGAGAAGTTGGAAGTTCGGAGAGCTAAATGTGAGTACCATTGGTTTTTTTAAATTTGTAATGAAATGTGCTGGCTTTGTTGCATGATTTGTATTCAAGTATAACTTTTTATTGCAAGTGAATCATTCAGTGATTACATAAAATGAACTTGAATACTGATTTGTTGGTCTTAGAATAATGTAAAATCAATTTTAATATTTGGTATAAATTTTGATGTGCATATTTTAGTGCATATTTCGGAAGTTTTTCATTCATTAATGCATACATATTTAAGGGATTATTAGGGCATAAAAATCCGGTCCCTACTTATGACTAATACGGAAAAAGATACATCTCAAAAATAATTTATTTGCAGCAGAAGCAATCCAACTGTTACACTGTCTTCGAATTTTAAAGAATTCACAAAACAAAAATAAAACTCCGTGGCTTTAGTCCGCAAGCGAACTATACGGACCGAGCGACCGCCGCTTGTCGGCGAAGATAGTCACTACGTACCAAATTTTGTCGAAACATGTATTTTATATGGATAAGTGAATTAAATGGGCACGCTGTAGCGTATTTGGTTGAGGCACTATGCTACAAGCCAGAAGGTATTGGGTACGATTCCCGATGAAGTGATTGGATTTTTCAATTGACCTAATCCTTCCAGCCGCACTATGGCCCTGGGGTCGACTCAGCCTCTAACAGAAATGAACACCAGGACTCTTATTGCGGAGTAAAGGGCGGCCGGTGCTTAAACCTGACAACTTTACCGACAACTGTTTTACATTTTTACCCTGTATTTAGATTAATGCAAGTATTGCTGTTAGTACGAAATTTTGTTAATATTCGTGTTTCCAATTCAGATAGCCTTACATTAACATTAATTCCGTACTTCCGGATTCTTAAGAAAAATTCCGATGTCGAAAATTTTCCGTCTAATCCAAACATATCCTTCTTGGAAAAGTTTCCCTGTATAGGCTTATGAACGCGTCACGGGCTTACTGCATCATCGTTAATTTTCATTAATTTCTGGTCTTTGTGATGACAATGCCGGTAGCGCATTTTTTGTAGTATCGTGACATCGTGGCTAAGTTATAAACGACAAATACAAAGATGTGTTTAATTAGGCACCACGGCATGTAAAGGTATGAGTGAGTGGATATATAGAGAGTGGCCACAATTTATGCACCACATTTCAAGTGCACGCAAAACACAGAGTATATGAAATGGAGATACTTGGTTTGCTTCGCTTGAAAGAACATGTCAAGTTCAACAGGTCTGAATAGCTCGCAGAATGTCCATTTCATGCTGCGTGTTTTCCAGCAACTGCATTGTTGATTCGTGCAATAAGTTGAACAACACTGCCAACCTTAGGATGGAATGTCTGATCCTTTACTCATTCCCAAAAGAAAAAATGCAAATAGGTTATATCGGGGAAACGAGGGGCGAAGGGATTGATCCGTCCCAACCAATTCATTTGTTTTCGAAAGTTTTATTCACAGAATATTTCACTGTAAGTCCTCAATGTCGAGGGGAACAGTCGTGTTGGAAGAAGACATTTGGTTGATGGTGTGGAATCTGTAAGGCTGCAAATATTTCAAGTAAATCTACATCAGTTGCACAGTTCATGGTCTTGAAAGAAGATTTGTCCCGTCACCTCATGACGAGAAAGGGCGCAATACACATTCAACTTGGGACTTCGCTTGATGGACTGTCTTCCAGATGCTTGTTCTCCATATTCCCGACGGTAACGCCTTTGAACACGAATAACTGACTTGAAGAGCAGACATAGCACGACTGCCGCTACAGTTCATCCTTGCCCACAGCCACTGAGTATCTGGTTCTGAGAGGCAAGGTTTCCCAGAATTCACTGCGCTCTTTCAAAAGCCCTTGGCCATGGTGCAAACCATCATGAGCGATCCGAACGTAATCGAGCACTTCAGGCGAAGAAACGGGTTTCCATGTGGGCGCAGGTTCCCTGTTAGACACAAACACAAATTTACAACGTTATAGCATTCTTCTCATGATATCACTTCTTGACGCTGACGCTATGTAAGCGGGGACTGTTTCCTAATTTATCGGTACTTATTATTTGATTTATTGCTAGTGGCGTGGGACTAAGACCCTTGTACTGGGCCACTTCTGACCTATTGTGCCAGCCCCAGATGATAGGAGAGGGTGATTGTGGAGCAATTGGTGCAATGAAGATTGGCAGGGGAAACCGAAGTACTCGGAGAAAACCTGCCCCAGCGCCACTTTGTCCACCACAACTCCCACTTGGTAAGACCCGGGATCGAACCCGGGTCGACGCGGTGGAAAGCCAGCGACTAACCGCTTGAGCTATGGCGCGGCCATCGCTGCTTAACTTGTGATTCAGCACTACTTGTATGGCTCTACAGCCTTTATGGACCTTGGTCGCTTTTTCAGTTTCTTAATCTACACAGAGTCGGTCCTTGGACGGGCGATCAATCCGTCGCAAGATCTCTACCTAAACATAGAACAGCACAAACGCACAGACATCCATGCCTCGAGTGGAATTCGAACCTGCGACCCCTATGTTCGAGCGAGCGAAGGCAATTCGTGCCTTACACCGCGCGACCACTGTGATCGCCGTTTTATCACTATTACTTTATATTAACTGAAGCAACTTTCAGACGACTAAGTTCCTCATCTTAATTTAAAAGTTAATTGGTTCTGGAACATAAGGCCGTGTGGTCCATTAACAGCGAACCGACGTTTGGGAGGAGCCTTTAGCAACTAGTAAGAAGGGTTCTGCGTGCAGGTTCCGTCTCCACTGCACAAGACGTACCCACTGCGAGCGAAGTTTGTCCACAGCGCTGTCATCGTCTCCACCATGCGTTCGTCCTCTGCTGTCAGTTTAGAATTGCGAAATATGACATCCTGAGGGAACAGATACAGCACGTCGTCCAGATGAACAGGGCCTGAAATTCAAAGTAAACTCAGTGCCGACCCATGCCCAGTAAGCAGATTTCATAACAAGAACATAAATGGGCCAGCAAGAGCCGAGGCGAGGGGCTTACGGAAGTGCTGGAGCCACATTCTCATGACGTCAGCCACTTCAGCGCACAGTCCCTCACACGCGTCCTAACATTAACTCCTCATGACGTCACGACTCTGAAGCAGCCTATGTCCCTCACACGCATCTTATTATTAACTCCTCGTCTCTTGTCTCCGTCCTCCAACGGACGTTCCACAAGGGCATTGAAGTGGGATGAATATTGTAATTATGCATTACGTGGGATGGAGGTATAGCTCCACAGGCACTAGATGGAGGTGAGTGGCCGTATTAACCCTCGGGGAAACAGCTCCTGGAACCCGCTGGACTAGAGTCTGAACATTATGGATAACAGCCAAATCTCGTATCTCCACCGAGAAGCGAACCCTGATTCCTTGGTCGTCTATCCCGTAGCCTAGTCTCTATGCTAATTGAAGTTTGTTGCTGGCACCACGTGTCTATTGACTGAGATTGGATCCTCCTAACGGATCCAGCTGAGTAGAAACCTGAGGAAGGGAGCAGATCCAATCCCCGAAATGGAATGTTTTCTTTTAGCATATTGGCCGGTGGTCTAAGTGCAGAAAGTCATTAACAGTAAAAGAGTAACATTTCTGCACCTTCCCGGAGTCAAGCCATGGGAGAACATACGGTTGTGAGACGTCGAGGCTCAAATTTTTTCATCCAACCCATAGCCATTCTCTCTGCTAACTGAATTATCCTGAGCAATACCACGGCATGGAAGAAAGAGTACGTTTCAAGATCAGGTACAGTGCGTGAAGTAATGTGGTGCATGCAACCTACGCCGCTCCTATTCTCTGAAACGAATCGGTTACGGTAAAGGTAAAGGAAGGTAAAGCTATCCCTGCAACAGGGCCTGAAGGCCCATAGCGTTGTGAGACGTCGAGGCTACCATAGTTTCTTTAGACAATCAGCGGTAAATTTGTCGGCCTTACGCGCCGGCCATCCTTTATCACCCCATGAAATTTACTTGCATCGGCTCTGAGTTGTTGCAAATGTTTGCAGTTTCACATACTGTAAGCACTCACCATAATTAGCGGTCGAATTCATTCCCACGGTACTGAAACTGTTTTTTCCGCGATAGTCAAATAAGTAATAATAGACTTGCTCCCCTCTCTTAGAGTGGAGTCTGGCTGCTGAGTTCGTCCCGACCAAGAAAAATAAATCCGTAATCATCTGCAACAGAAGAATTCATCTTAACATATGTCTCCTGAGAGAAAGTGTTGATAGTATCTCAGCTGGAACAGTATACACACACTCCTCCCGAGAGAATATGTTGACAATTTCTCAGCTGGAATAGTATACACACAAACCTCCCAAGAGAATGGTTTGACAGTTTCTCAGCTGGAACAGTATACACACACCTCCCGAGAGAATATGTTGACAGATTTTTAGCTGGAACAGTATACTCTTACACACACTCCTCCCAAGAGAATGTGTTGACAGTTTCTCAGCTGGAACAGTATACACACACACACACACACCTCCCGAGAGAATGTGTTGACAGTTTATCAGCCGGAACAGTATACACACATTCCTCCCAAGAGAATGTGTTGACAGTTTCTCAGCTGGAACAGTATACACACAAACTCTTCCTGTGAGAATATGTTGACAGTTTCTCAGCTGGAACAGTATACACACACCTCCCGAGAGAATATGTTGACAGATTTTTAGCTGGAAGAGTATACACACACTCCTCCCAAGTGAATATGTTGACAGTTTCTCAGCTGGAACAGTATACACACACCTCCCGAGAGAATATGTTGACAGATTTTTAGCTGGAAGAGTATACACACACTCCTCCCAAGTGAATATGTTGACAGTTTCTCAGCTGGAACAGTATACACACACCTCCCGAGAGAATATGTTGACAGTTTCTCAGCTGGAACAGTATACACACACACCTCCCAAGAGTGTTTTGACAGTTTCTCAGCTAGAAAAGCATACACACACACACCTCCCAAGAGAATGTGTTTACAGTTTCTCAGCTGGAACAGTATACACACCCACCTCCTGAGAGAATTTGTTGACAGTGAAACTGTACCGTTAATTAATATATACCCCAGACCCAATATATTACTGTTCCAATGTGACATATGTGTATGTTTGTGGTTAAGATCTTACTTGAAGTATCTCAGTTTCGCTTCCAGTACAGAAAATATACCACAACTGAATTATCTGCAGATATTATAATTGTATTTGTTTTATTCTTTAAATTTAAATTAAGTATACCAATCCCTATGCGACTGCCTGGGCTTGAGGGGCTAGTTTTGTTTAGGTTGCTCAAGAAATTTTAGTATAACCCCATAGCTGATCGGCCCTTATATAAAAGAAGGCCAGTTGATTGTATCTTGAAGCAGTTTAATCCAGTACACATCGTTGCAACCCCCTTATAAAACATTTTACTGCTACGTAGGCCGATTTCACTGAAATAGTCTCTTCCGTTCAGGTTTACAATGGAATGTTGCTCGTTTCCTCATCTCCCTCGTTCATGCTACATGTTCCACCTATCTATTTTCCGTACACTTAATTCATGAAATTATATTGACAAGTAATACATCTTATGAAACTCCTCATTATTCATATTTTCCATCCGTCTGTTTCTTCATCCCTTTGATTTCAAATATTCTCTTCAGCACTTTGTTCCCAAGAACTCTCAATTTGTGTTGATGACAGCAAATTTGTTACCCACATAAGACATTATACTGAAGTCAATCTGCTCTACAACCACGGTATGTCATATGTGCACGAAGACCAAAAACACTTACATCAGTTATACCAGAATCAGGTGCATAAGTAATCCGTTTGTCTCCGAAGTAGAACTTCTGGGCCTTCTGGGCGACCTTCTTGACGAGTGACTTGTCCTCGGGATTCTCAAGTAGCATTGTTATCACAGAATTTTCCTCCAGCTTGACCTTCGATTCATCTGGTCCGAATAAAACTGTAACGCAGAAAGAAAGCAGTAACTGTTGTTGAGTAGCTCAGCGTTCAAGTGGGAACAGGAACAGATGAGAGCTGCGGTGGGGACGAAGGAATGTATTGTGACATGTAGACACATTTCTAGGCAACTGTCGAAGTACACGCACAGAACATTGGAACCGGTGTCGCAAGAGGTGTTTTCTATGTGGTTCGCATATATCCATAAATCCATAAATATATATATATAGATATATAAATATATCCATAAATATCCATATCAATTGTAATACCGCTAAGGTTACGTACATGTAGATATAGTTTTTGGGGAAAAATCGGAATAATAGTAGCTAGACTGTAAGATTAAGAAACAGCCATGATGAAACNTAATCAAAAACCCTTTTGCCTTTAGACTTTTGATTGATATTAAGTAACTTAGAGTTCAGGGGAGGCTATCGCCGAGAGAGCGATGGCCGTGAGTGTGCGCTGGTTGCTGATGACGAGCATCTTCTTCCTCATCTCAAGTAAGTGAAACCATCTTCATATAGCCATGAACATTAAGTGTAACAGTGATAATTTTAAAGTTTAAAACCACAGGGAAAGATAGGCTAGATTGATTAGGTTCATCGGTGGTCCCAAGGCGTAGAATACCCGCCAGTAGGGTGACAGGAGGTAGAACCAACGATGACTGCAGGTTCATTATCCAGTGTAATACAACCGACAAACGTCGGCACAGTGTGTGTATAGTGTATATAACGACGTAGGTAAATAGAATAGGATAGGAATATGTAAGAGTTTAATTCAACCCAACATTTCCTTAAGTGTTACCCTCTTCCTTGACGACTCCAGGACCTCCCAACGCTCCGGCGAATTACGAGTTAAGCGAGGACAGGGACGCAAACTATGATAAGTTTACGAGATTTCTTGAAATAACAAGATGGTGGCAGCATACTAAACGGTGTGACAGAGCGGGATATTTCCCCGCCCTCTGTCATCACGGCAGAAGATAGGTGTAGCGGCGGCTTAAGAGAGGTACAGCGGCGGAAGCGGTGGAGGTACTTCCACGCTCCCCCCCTTCACGCCATAACATCAATAAACATGCATTCTTGACAACAGAAGAAAATGTTTTCATGGGGTCACTGCCGAGGGGTTATCTTGAAGACAATTGACGCTACAGGAGTTCAGTTGAAGGTTTAGCTGTGGAGTGTTAACCAGCGGGCAACGGAAGTTGAAGAATCTCCATTGCTAAGATTCGTTACCAGAAAACTTCTAGTGAAGAGTTGTTACCAAGTAGATACTAGTGGAAACAGACTGAGGAGACTTAGTGTTCTGTGAATTGTAATGTGGAAATTAGCAATACTATTACAGTTATTTGTACGTATAATTATGATCTGTGAGTGGACAATAAATCTATTCTTGGTTCTTGAGCAGGGCATGTAGCACGAATGGGGGGATGAAGAATGCGTATAGGATATTGATGGGAAAGCCAGAAGGAAAGAGACCACAGGGAAGACCAAAGCTTAGGTGGGTGGACAATATTAAAATGGATTTAGAGATATAGGATGGGATGGTATGGATTGAATTGACCTGGCTCATGATAGGGACCAGTGGAGGTCTCTTGTGAACACGGTACTGATTCTTCGGGTTCCATGAAATGCTGGGAAATTCTTGAGTAGCTGCAGAATTGGCAGCTTCTCAAAAAGGGCTCAGCTCCATGAGTGATATATATGGATACCACTCTGTTCCACGCCAGTCTTCTGAAATCCGAAATTTTGCGTATTTATTTTTCGAAAGAAATGCCACAAAGCAACATTTGAGACCTGTTTAAATCTTTTGTGGGGACATCCCACATAGCACGCTCTTTCCACCGGTCTTTTAGACAACACTCACTCCTTAGTGAATATCGCATTGCCAGTCACAGCCAGAGTCAGAGTCAGGGTAATGTTACAACTGACCGTCAGTCAGTCTGTCTGTCTTGGTGTCGAGCCCCAGCTGGGGCTCATGGCAAGATATTTCTTTTTGAATGAAAGTTAGTGTCTTGTCTATGTGGGACGCCGTCTCTGACGAGAGGTCGGGTCTGTCATTTGTCAGTTAGTCTGTATTAATATGTCCACTGTCTGTATTTACATAAATTTACAATACACACTTATTTCTTACTTTTATGTACAATATATACAAGGCCTCTGTCAGTCCAGGCTCAGTACAGCAGATTATGCCCTATTTCTAGCAGTATTCGCTACCACGGCAGTCTAGTCACTTGAACGGTCGTATGCTTGACCGCCGCCAAGATTAAGCCTCTTATACTTTCTGTGGTGGGCTTCGCCTTGTCCGATGTTGCGAATATTCTCATTCTCATGATTTTGTATGACTTCTGCTTGTTGCCTGCATAATTTTGTTATATAGTCATATCCGTACGGGATTTTGAATGCCATGTGCAAATCGCGGACCGGTGTGCGCCTCGGAAAATTGCCAATGGTGCGCAGAACCTTGTTTTGTAGGCGCTGCAATTTCACTAGATGGGTGTCTGCCTCAAACTCCCAGGTGGGACTAGCATAAGTCATTACGGATCTAATAAGAGCTTTGTGGAGGGTCAGTTTAATGTGAGCGATTAATCGCTCACTTTTGAATAGGGAATATACTCTAATGAATGTTCTGAAGGCCTTGGCTTCGATCATTTCTATGTGTAATCTCCATGTCACTCTCTTATCTAAGATTACACCTAGATATTTTGCACTACTTACAAACGGAATTTTTCTTCCATTTAGAGTAAGACAAGATTCAGGCGGTCGACGACCACAATAGAAGTAGACCCCCCGAGTCTTATCTTCATTAATTTTTATATTCCAGCGCTCACACCATGTCTCCATTGAGGTGAGACCGCGCTGGAGTTTTCTAACAATAAAACCCTCCTTGCGATCTGTCGCATATAGACAGGTGTCGTCCGCAAAGAGGGCCAGGTGAACACCATGTGTTTGGGGGGCATCATTTACATACAAATTGAAAAGAGTAGGGAAAGGACAGAACGTTGTGGCAACCATGTTTACATTTCCCTTGGCGTTGACATTTCGCCTTCAACCGAGACCCTGAATTTACGTTTAGAAAGAAAGGACCCAATGAGTTTGGTCAAACTGTTCGAGAATTCCAATTTTGATAACTTATACCGCAATCCTGAGTGCCACGTGGTATCAAAGGCTTTTCGAATAGTTTTCCTGTCGTGGACAGGGGGCTGATTGGACGTAAATTTTGAGGGAATTTCGGGTCTTTAGCGGGTTTGGGTAAAGTTATTACTTTTGCTTCCTTCCATGTACTTGGAAAATGAGAGAGCATAAAACAATAATTAAATGAATGGGTTAGATGAACCAGTGGTCGCCTTGGAAGGTGCCTGAGGCATTCATTTGGGATGCCATCAATTCCACAGACCTTTTTTAGTTTAAGAGATTTTATTAATTTCTGTACGTCACATGGTCTGATCCTTTGAGGAGGGTTCTCGTCTACGGTTTCCAGCAGAGCTTGAACTCTAGCCTCCACCAGCTGTTCATGGTTTTCGTCGCCCAG